GAGTACTACTCTGACAAAGGATAAACGAGTCATTTGCAGGAAAATGGATACACTTTGAGATAATAATTTTAAGTAAAATAAATCAGACACACAAGGTTAAATATCACATGGTCTCTTTTCGATGAGAAACACCAAATAAACATAACGAGCAAAATAAAGAAGTGATAGGAAATAGAGAAATATATCTTTTGTAAATGGGAAGGGAATGAAGAGATAGATTGCAAGTGGGGTTGAGGCAGCGAGGCAAAAAGGCAGGTGATCTTGGGGATGGTCAATTGGAAGAGATGCTTTGGCACTGAGTTATGAAGAAAGTGTTTTAAAAGAAAGTAGTTACCCAGAACATCGGCAAACAACCACCATGACATGTTTACTACAGTTCTTATGCAATCCATGTCTTTGTTCAACTTTTGGAAGTTTTCTACTTCATTCTCAGGACTTCCTTTCCATAGATCTTGAGGATATGGAGACTTCTGCTGCATATATTTTCCTGTGGATCTCCAAAAATTCTTGTCGTGTTGGGTATTGCTTTTGTTGTGCTGGAGTTGTATTTCCATACACAGTAAGCAAATACACTTTCTGAGTTAAACATTGATATTTTCCCTATCATCCAAGACACTTTCTTCATGGACAACCATGAAAAGCTGTAATAGGCAAAATGTGCCCATTAGACACAGGAAAAACAGAGAATTGTCTTTCAGTGGCGTCTTCTACCCATTTCTTTATTGTATTAACATTTGTTGAATGATTCCGTAAGCAAGGGATTTAGTAAGATATTTTGATTAATCAACACATTACCTAGGACTAAATCCATTTAAATTTCCTCCAGAAATTTTTGATTCAGGTAGCTATGGGCAGGACAGTGTGCACCAGAATTGGGCTCACCTGCTCCTCTCACGCCCATTATTCCCATGTTAAGTCTGGCATTTAACAAGCTGAAATACCCATTAGTTGACCTACAGAAAATGCACGGCCTATTGTTACATTTCTGTGTTACCTCTTAAAAAAGAAGGAGGGGTATGGGGCTGGGGATTTAGCACAGTGGTTCTGCTGCCTGACTCGCAAGTGCAAGGACCCAAGTTCAATCCCCAGTACCAAAACAAATAAAGGAATGAGGAGTAAACAACTGAAAGTGTTGCAAATACATACAATTTATATATTCCTGACAAGATTGGGAGGGGCTTTGTTCCTTATCCATGCGAAGAAGATCCTGGATATAGAAGAATCTTGGCTCATGACAAGAAAGGGACTGATAGTCGGAAAACACAGAGAAATTAATGCAGCTGTGGTTATCAACCAAAAACTGTGATTATAGAAAAGAGCTATGGAAGTGTGAAAGATGGAGGAGAGGGTGTAAAAACATACAAATTGATCACCAGAAGAAGGATGCTTTGGGTGGCTCTGGGCTCAGGGCATTTGAGGGAAGCATGAGTGGTACGAATATGTTGGACCTGCCGCTTGTGTCTGTACAGAATGAAAATCATAGAGCCACTGGCCCAGATCATGAGCACAGAAAAAAAAAAGAACTTCTGGGAATGCTACGAAAGCTGTATAGACTAAATCCATAACTGTCCCACAGTCTGTAACATGGCAGTATCCCATATCTTTTTTCTTTGTGATGTTTCTGCCATACTGCTATCCAGACATATGCAATCCATACAGAGGAAAAATTAAATTGACCACCATCTGTAGGGTCCAGCAAAAGATAATGAAGAAGCCAATCTACTTTTGAGCTTTTACCTTGAGATCTTTCCAACAAGAGTTCAGGGGGCTTATTGTGATTTTCTGAAATGCACTGACATACCTCTGCGTACTCTCTGGATATACAAGATAAAATCGCAAGCAATCTCGTTAAAAACATATTTAAACCCAAAGGCTACCATTGTGTGAGGCAGTCCTTTAGAAAGAATAACTAAAGAGTTGGCTATAAACATATGCCCGAGAATCAAATCTGCAGACCTTAACCTGCTTTTATTGTGGTAAAGTAGAAAATAATGACAAATAAGAAAGGAATTTCCTAGGATTCCAATGGTAGTATGTGACAAGAAGATTATTCTTACAGCCAAATCCATTGAAGTTCTTTTGTCATTTTCCTCTAAAATGTCTTTTAAGTTCTGATAGCAATTATTCTTCTGAGTAACAAGGCTCTTGTAGAATTGACACCAAAAGTTGTTTGCTCTTGTGGGATTGTGAAGATCTCAGGGAGGAAGAGGAGATGAAATGGAGCCTCAGCATATTTAATACGTAAGGCAGTATTAACCTGGAGAAGTAACACGTGAGAACATGTGGGGAGAAAGCAAAAACATTTCAGCAAATCAATAACTTATGCTTAGTGACCCTAAAAAAAGAAAAACTTCAGTCATTATCAACATCATATAGTGGATCAATTCAAAATGGATCTTCTTTCTTTCTCTCTCTCTCTCTTTTTTTTTTTTTTTTTTTTTTTGGAGACAGGGTCTCACTATGTAGTTGAGACTGACCTGGAACTCACTACGTAGCCTAGTCTGGTCTTGCACTCACAGCGATCCTTCTGTCTCAGCCTCCTGAGTGCTGGGATTACAGGCATGTGCCACCACGCCCAGCTACAGTAGACTTCTTAATACAAACTCTTAAATGAAGTAGAGCTTCAGGTGTAGCATTTCAACCCCTAAAAGAAAAACACCAACCCAGATGGATGTACCCTGCAAAACTATCTTTCATAATTGGCAGAGAAATAAGATTTTCTACAATAAAGAATACCTGAAAAAATTTGTGACCACCAACCCAGCACTCCAAAAAGTCCTGAAGGATATTCTAGAAAGAAATAGTGAAGATTACAATTCCATGAACCCCAATAGAATGAATCTACCAGGTAAGGCAAGCAAACAGAGGGGAAAGAAAGGGAACCAACATCAGGAAAATATTACAAGGATAAGTCAATCCATATTAGTGATAACTATCAATGTTGATGGTCTCAACTAATTCATAAAAAGAAACAGATTGGCAGAATGGATCAAGAAACAAGATCCAAAAATATGCAGCATACAAAATACACATTTAACTCAAAAAGAAATTCACAGAATGAAAGTCAAAGGAGATAAAACACTATTCCATGTGAAAGGAACCTGAAAAAAATGCACGAGTAGATATTCTGCTCAGAATCAGAAGAGATAAAGAAGGTCACTACCTATTAGGGGAACAATCCGAGAAGAAGAGACAACAACCATAAATGTATATGCACCAAATACCAGAACAACCAACTACATAAATGATAACAGATATGAAAAATTAAATACTAATATAATTATAATGCGAGACCTCAATACCTCACTATCACAAATAGCTTAGCTAGACAAAAAATCAACAAAGAAATATCAGTTGAACCAAACCTTTGAACAAATATACTTAGTAAATATATATACGGAGTGATTCACCCTACAAAAACAGAATGCAGAAACAGGACTTTCTCCAAAAAAGATCAAACACTAGTTCATGGAACATGCCTACGTAAATGCAAAGTGATTGAAATTATCCCATACATACTATCAGATTATAGTGCAATGAAAGTGGAAATCAATGACAAAAGAAACCACAAAAACTACCTAAACACATGGAAATTAAATAACACCCTCCTGAATAACCAATGGGCCACAGATGAAATTAAAGAAGAAATCAGGCAGTTTCAACAATTAACAATAATACCAGTCAACATAGCAGAACGTACAGGATCTGATGAAACCAATCCAACAAGATAAATTTATAGTGGTGAATTCTCACATCAGAAAAAGAGAATGAGGTCAAATAAATAGCCTAATGTTGAACCATAAGCTTCTAGGAAAAGAAGAGCAAGTGAAATGCAAAGTACATACAAGTGAGAAAATTATAAAGATCAAAACCTAAATTAATGCAATTGAGATTTAGAAAATGATGCAAAGAATCAATGAATTGAAGAGTTGGATCTTTGAAAGATTAAATAAAAGACCCTTAGCAAACCTTTTCAAAAAATGAAAGAAAAGACTCAACTCCATGCAATTGGGAAGGCAAAGGGTGAAATCACAACAGATCCTACAGAAATCCACAAAATCATCAAGAACTTGACCTCTAAGAAGATAGAAATTTCCAAAGAATTGGACAGATTCCTAGGTACATATGAATTATCAAAGCTGAATCAAGAATATATAAAATTTTTAAATAACCCAGTGTCATTCCATGAAATTGAAGATGTAATTAAAAACCTACCAACAAAAAAAGCCCAGGTCCTGACATATTCACTGCTGAATTCTACAAGAACTTTAGAAAAGTTCTAATTCCACTACTCCTCAAACTCTTCAATGAAGTTGAAAGGGAAGCAATACTCACAAAATCATTCCTGGAAGCAAGCATTATCCTGTTAACAAAACTAGAGTAGAATCCAACCAAAACATGGAAACTACAGGGCAGTCTCCTTAAGGAACATGGACACAAAAGTCCTCAATAGAATACTGGCAAACAATGCAACAAATCATCAAGAAGATTGCTGGGAGTGATGGCCAGGTGTAATTCACCTCCTCCGGTGGTTGATGCAGGGTTAGGGTTAGGGTTAGGGTTTCGTGGATCGAACTCGGAACCCCACCGCTGAGCTAAATCCCCGGCCCCTATGAATACTTTTTAACAGAATATTTTCATTTTTTCTACTCATAAATATTACCCTTAATTTTCTTTATATAAGTCTGCATACTGTCTTTATGAGATTTATACAATTACCTATTAATATATATTCACACGAGGGTTTGTTGTATTATAAACCTTAAATGACAAGTACAACAAACTCAATGACTGCAGATAAGGAACATTTACTAATACTCCCAGTTGTGCACACCTGGGCTACATTCCTGCAAAGGCAAAAGCCCCCTTGCCTTCCGTTACGTCAGTATTCAAACGTGGCCGCCCCCATGTGGCCACAGTGAGCGGGCGCAGCCATATTACCTACTAGGTTAGTAACCGGAAGTTTTGTTCCTGTGCTTTCAAGTGCTTTACGCCTTCTCGGCCGCCGTAGGCTAACTAGCATTTTCGGAAGGGCTCCAGAAGTACACTAGCGCTTCACGGAAGTGCAACGATCAGGTTCTTCTTATGGGTCTGGAGGAAATCAGGTGCGTGTGTGACTTTATTCCTGGAAGTTACCTTTGTCTCGGCGGAAGATGAGGGAGGTCCGTGGACACGAAGTAGCGCAGACCCCTGGAGTTCTTGGCGGAGGTGGCGGAGGTGTCCGACAGGTGCCTGACTGCCCCAGACTCGCCGGGCTGTGGTCGGGATCCTTTGGTGTCACTACCGTGTTTGAGGGCTTGGAGGGATCAGCGACAGGTCGCTGCCGCATCGTCACAGACAGAAACAGACTATTGCCAGCCGTCAGTAGTATTTTCTGAGCTTTTTTTCCATCCTCTATCAAAGGTAATTATGGTTACTCTCGCTATAGGCACTACTTCTAGGCTTTTAAAATATAGTTTATAATTAACCAAGTCTTGCTATTTCATTCAATTATTTGAATATATAGCGGTTGTTGCCTGTTAATTACCTCTCTGTTGCTTACAATCTGAACTTTTATACATGATGCTGCTTTGAACAGTTTCATAAATGTCTTCTGGTTCAAAGGTGCCCTTATTGGGAAGGAGGCAGGAGATGCATATTTAAAATATGCACCTCAGACAGAAATTAGTACATCGTAGGGCATATAACCTCAAGTCTGAACTTCTTCAAAGTGGTTGTAGCACTACAGCTCCTCTAGAAGAGTATCATTTGCTTTATGTGGGCTGTTTAAGGTTAATTTCCTCTATTGTAATACCCTTGAGAGAGCCTCCTATAATATTTCCTTAAAACTTTATGGTTTTGCTTGACCCACTGAGGATGACAGTTGACGCCTACATGACTTTTGTGTGTGTCCCAAGCTGGGATTTCACTTTCTCTTCCAACCCAACATAGATGTCTGAACTCTCTTGTAGCTGAGGCATGGTGCCATGCCGGGGCTCATTTTCCACATTCCTTCATAGTCATCCCAGCTAAACTTTACAGAATAAAAGCGTAGGTCTGCTGCCTTCAGAACCTCTGGCTCAATTGGCCAGAGATATCGTCTGTTGGAGCACTATACAGGGCTAGTTAACGTGTGGGGGACATTGTGCTCAAATGAATGCTTAGGAGCCGTGATACTATACTGCCCAAAGGCAAAGTACCATTCCAACTAAATTTCCTTTTCAACTCACAGATCCTCAGTTCTCAGGAGCAAAAGAATCACATAAAGGAGGAGGAACTTACAGCATCGGGGTATCGGCATTAGAGCGGAAGACACCAAGAAAGCATCCCAGTGGCCATCAGTTTTCCAGGGGGAAAAAAAAAAGAAAGAAAGAAAATGATCCAGGCCCAGGTAACTAACTTTGGATTTGTTTTACAGTCTTTCCTTTCCTTTCTTCCCTACTGAGTTTTAAGAGGCCTATGGGAAAAAACAAATCAGTTACATTAATCTGAAAAGTTTAAATTTCACAGAAGCAGGATCTGGAAAAAAAAAGACACCAAATCTTTATTTATTTATTTTTCTTTTGCTTTGCTTTTTGAGATTGGAATCTTGCTATGTTTCCCAGGCTGGCCTTGAATTCCTGGACTCAAGTGATCCTGCCACCCTAGCCTCCAGATTAGGTGGGACTGTAGGTATGCACTGGCTTTAGGTGTAGGTACACCTGGCTTTAACTTAGTCTTCCAACTGAACATCGGGCCTGGTAGGGTAGGGAACAGATTGTTCATAGGATTTACAGTAAATTACGAACATTGGGACGTACATGGCCGGTCACGTGAGCTGTCAGCTTACATATCGGATCTCTCTGACAGGCAGCCCCACCAAAGAACTGTTAGAACTTAAGTGGTGTGCACTGGTTCTGAGGAGAAAATAGATCTGTTCCTGTTGCAGATGCCTGTATTTCGTGGCACTTTGTCTTGGGAAATCTGTTGCTTTGTTCTTCCCAGACGTGATGTGGATGGTGTCCGGAAGAGCAGCCTTCTTACAAATGCAGAAGGAAGTTTAACTGCGGCTGCCTCTTCCTGGATTCCTCCCAGACCTCTGTGGAACAGACCAAGTGACTGCAGGGGACCGAAGCGCATTGACTTCAGCCTTGTGGCTGACTGGATTTATCCAGGAATAAAAGCTGAACGGCCCAGGAAGATGGAGCGGGTGGAGGGACTGCGGGGTGTGCAAGTGTCCGTGAGCAGAGTGGAACTGGTGTTTGAATTCGGCCTTGCATGTAGGGCATTGATGTACTGTTGTGTGGCAAGGGCTTGGCTTGTTGGACTTGATAGGATTTGCTTTAGACCTTCATTCACTTCATGATAGAAAACTCAGAGTCCTGTTCTGTTGGCTAGCAGAAAACTGACCTTATGCAAAGAAGAGTGTAGCCTTTGCCTCAGGACACTAGAGGGAGACTACTGGGACACCCGGAGTGTTCTCTCTGGCAGGAAAATCTTTGTTCCCCTGCAAGCTTCAGCCATTGAACAGTCTAAAACCGTGATCTATGGAGGAGATTTGAGCCTTAGATCACGGTTCAGATCTCTAGAAGAACTGGAGGTTAAAGTTTTTAACCTGACTTCCAGGGGCTGGGCCTCAGGTCAGCCATGTAGGCCATCCGTGGTTGTACTCCGATAAACATAACAAAATACACGTGGCAAAATTCAGTTCCCTGTTCACCCATTTCCTCCCCAATCCCCTTTTGTAATTGGTTGGTAATGTTTACTTTCTATGAGAATCCACATTGAGACAGAACAGTGGTGGAACTGCTCTGTGTACTGATTGTGCTGATAGCAAGCGTGGAGCGTCATGTGTGATAAAACCGAATAGAAACCCACACACGTGAGCACGTGTAATCTAGCGAACCTGAATAAGGATCGCATCAAGGCCAGTTTCCTGCTTATGATATTGTCCTTTAGTTAGGCAAGGTGTTACCCCTGGGAGAAACTGGGTGAAAGGCATATGTGCTCTATTTGTATTATTTATTTTCTTCCTTTGTGTTTTTCCTCTTCTTTTTCTTTCCTTTTTTTCCTTCAGTGCTAGGGATTGAACCCAGGGCCACATGCATGGTAGGAAGCATTTTACCACTGAGCTACGCTCCTAGCCCGTTGTGTTATTTCTTTCAACTATATGTGCTAAGCTATCGTTATCTGTGATTGTATCCTGATAAATAACAAAATACATAAGGCAGAAATAAGTTCCCTATTCATACAGTTCCTTCGAATCCCCTTTGGTAAATGGTTGGTAATATTTATGTTCTGTCACTGTCTGCATTTGGATGTATATCTGTATATGTATTTAAAAAGTGTTATATGTCTATATACAGTAAGACATGTCTGTAGACATAAAGCAATGCTGTCTTTTTTTACACTAATGACATCACATTTCACGGACTATAGCAGCCTACTCGAAGGGACTGCACTGTGTCAACCCCTAGGATGGTACATTTTGAGCATCCAAAGACCAATGGCTGTAATTGATCAGAAGACATTAACTGTGTAAAATTCAATCAGTTCACAGTGTTACTTGAAAAACTAAAATATGTTTTTCACCTCTAGAGGTTGGGAGAGAACTGAGTATTGTATCTGAAAAATGACAAAGGAGCCTACACTTACGTTCATTTTTCTGGAGAAATGACAATGACTTTTTTTTTTATTTTTGTGATTTGTTTTCGTTGGACAGTGTCTCTATCTGTAATCTTGTCATCCCAAGAATGTTATGTAAGGCACCGTGCGTCGTGTGACTTTTTTTCCTGGGGCTGAGACTTGGGAACACACGAGGTGGGCACGCACTCCCCCACTGAGCTATATCCCAAGCCCTTTTTATTTTTATTTTGAGACAAGGTCTCAATACGTTGCCCAGCCTAGCCTTGAACTTGCCATGCTCTTACCTCAGCCTCCTGGGTAGCTGGGCACCACCACGCCCAGCGTTAAACCTCTGAAAGTTGTACAGAGTAGTGGTGGCCAGGGCTGTTGGGAGGGTGGGTAGGGGAAGAAGGCTGTGGCTTTAAAAGGATGTACAGAAAGCTCCTCGTGATGTACCTGTCCTGTGCGCTGATGCAGTGAACCAGGATAAACACGGGTTCTATCCCGCCAGTGTCCTGGTGTTGCCCCTCTTTCATTCCTGCTCTCCCCTTCCTCTCCCCGTTCCCCTCCTGTTCTCCTTTCGTTTTTCTTCAGGGCTGGGGATGAAACCTAGGGCCTGATGCATGGAGGGAAGCACTTTACTACTGAGCTGTACCCCCGCCTTCTATATTATTTCTTCAGCTCTACGTGCTAAGCTAACATTGTCCAAAAACAAAACAAAAAAAAACCTGTGTGTGTAAACAAATCCATACTTAATGTGAAAAAAAAGAGAAAAACCTAAGCATTGTTAATAAAGTCCAAGACCCATATACTCGTATATGATCCCTTCCCTTAGGAAGAACTGGGCTATCAGTTTAATGTGCATTTTCTATTGTGTTTTCAGCAGAAGTGTACTTTTTTTGTTAGTGTTTTTGTTGTGATTTTGAAAGAAATCAAGACTACTTTTTTTTTTTTTTTTTGTACCAAGGGTCAAACTGAGGACCTTGTACTTTCCAGGCAGGCACCGTGCCACTGAGCTACATCCTGGCCCTCTGTTTTTGGTAGTGTTTTTTTCCCTTTAAAATGCCTGCATTTTTTTTAGATGTTATGACATGCCTACCTACTTTCTTTTTTGTTGTTGTTGTTTTCTTTTTTGTTTTTTTGCAACAAGGTCTTGCTCTGTCTGTAGTTCAGGCTGACCTTGAGCTCACTATTTAGCCCGGTCTGGCCTTGAACTTGGGGCCGTCCAGCTGACTCAGCCTCCCAAGTGCTGGGATGACAGCAGTGTGGTCCGAATGATGTGGGTGCCATCATTTAACTGTTCTCTTGTTGAACATTTGGGTGACTTTCTTATAACACACTGTGCAGCAGTGCACATTGTTGTTAATGCCTTTTTAGGAAGGTGTATCAGTATTTCTGAAGGTAGCTACAGAGAAGTCATTTGCTGAATGCACTAATTTTATATTTAATGAACATTTCAGGTTGCTGTGCAGAGTAACTAACTGTGCCATTTTATGGTCATTGTAAAATAACTTTAAAAGTCTTAGCTTTGGGCCACTGAACAATACACTGTCGCTATCATATTGTGATATAAGAAATAAATATTTGTGTCTGACCCTGGCTTCTGACCAGAGCTCCTAAAACTGTGGTAATTTCCTTTGTGAGGGGAACAATAGAAGAATCTGTACTTGTATTTGTGTTTTTGTCCTTGGCTCCTGACACGGCTCTGGAGGGTAGAGGCGAAGGGATGGCTTTGCTATTCATAACCTGAACTGGTGCCAGCAGAGTAGCTTCGGGGAAGCTCTGAAGGCAGAAAAGCCGGCTGTCTGGGTAACCGGTCTGGTTAACAGAAGGTCGCGGCCTACAGCCCCACCGGAGAAGAGCAGAGCAGCTGGACACGGATGTGATCATCACAGCCTAGTGATGTGATCAGTCCCGCCTAGGTAGTAAAGCTGCCATCGAAGAGCGGAGGGACATCTGGGCGGGTGAGGGTGGAAACACTGGGAATGCAGGAAGCCCCAGGGTTTTACCCTAAGCATCTCTTCCGTTAGGCTCTTCCCAATCAAGCCTTCATTATAAAATGCCGTCAGCGAGTGAACCATTTCTGAGTTTTGTGGGCCGTTCTAATGAATTATCAAACTCGAGGGAGGGCTCATGGGACTCTGAGTGAAAGCTGGTGAGCCCGACATTCGAAGGCTGAGCCTTGCGGTGCACACTCGTGCCGAGTACTGTGTCGGTCGGCGGTGGACAGCATATACCGATGGGTCCCGTGGGCGTGTGTGGCCTGGAAATGCTGTAGCTGTCTCAGTTTGTACAAGTACAAGAATGTTTGCCCACAGGTGAAATTGTCTAAGGTCTCATTTCCTGCAATGCATTCCTGTCATTATGTTACCGATGATTTCGAGTGTATATCTGCGTATAATGTAATATATAATCAAATGGACAGTTACAGAATGTGTTCTTAGGATTTTACTACCACAGTGTATCAGACATCAGCTAGGTGTACAGATGGAATGGAAAGAACAGGAAAAACAAATTAATTAATATTTCTTTCATATCCTCCCAGTTTATCAAGTCATTAGTGAGACTGTTGTTTCAGGAGTCGCTGACACTGGAGGATGTGGCCGTGAGGTTCACCCGGGAGGAGTGGCAGCTCCTGGGCCCTGCTCAGAAGGACCTGTACCGGGAGGTGATGCTGGAGAACTACAGCAACCTGGCGTCAGTGGGTGAGGACAGCTGCCCCGCGTCACTCATAGGGTCCCCCGTCAGTGGCCTGTCCTTTCTCGGCTTCTGGAACCCCTGGAGGTCCTGTGGAGCCTTGAGTGTGGTGTCTCTGGCCTCCAAAAAGAGCGCAGTGTGCTCTCTTCTGAGAGAAAAGCTTTTTACCTTGTGATGTAAACTGCACAGTCCTAAAATAGACCTCCCATGTTGACAGAGGACAGCCCAGTGTGCTGAGCCTAAGACTGCTGTCATTTCCCACAAGCAGGGTATCAAGCCAGCCAGCCCGATGCCCTCTCCTGCTTGCTGCGTGGAGAACCATGGGCGGTGGGGGATGAGCACCACTGCGGACCCCATCCGGGTGAGTAGGACTAGCGGGGGAAAGGCGGGGGTGAGAAAGCCTCGTGGCTGTGAAGGGGTCTAGGATATGACAACTGATGAGAAAGTGGGAACGTCGGAGTGAGGAGAGCAGACACGCGGGAGGCCGCAGCACGATAGACCAGGTCGCCTCGGCGTGGCCTCCTCTGCGTGCTGTCTCTGGGAGACTTTGCTTTGAAGGAGTTCAGAGGAAAACGGACCTGTTTATCTCTTCTGGGATCTGATTCCTCTTTACTAAGCTTGGCTCTTCCCTGGCTCCCGACTGCCATGTCCTCGTGCTCCACTGATACTGCTGGCCCCAGCTCTGATGCCAAGGTGACCTGGTCTCTCAGCAGCCCTTGGCCTCCTGAGCATCTCTTCTCACCGTGATGACCCCCAAAGGCTCTGTTTTCCATTTTCTTATCTGTTCTCACCTTCCAGCCTTTCCTTTAGCCGAATAAGTTAAACTTCTGTTTCCGGGAGCAGTGTCCCAAACTGGTATCTCTCTCATGCCGTCGAATACAGACTTTAATTTTCTGTGATTCACAGCTCTTGATGCCAAGGCTTCCTGCTGTCTTAATACAGCAGCTACTAAAGGTGTTTGTAATATGTGTTTCACACATGTGATTACTTCCTTGATTTCTTCCTTCAGAAACTATTTTTTGATAATGTATGCTGGATGGTACTAGCAGTCAGTAAAAACAACAGAGAACTTTTGTTTTAAGTGGAGGAGACATAAAATAAAGTAATATCATGGAGTTCCTAATATCTGTAAGAAGCTACAATCATCATCTCTCCAAGAAAAGCAGTGCCAGGTTTGACTTTGCTTTACTCCCGTATGTCCTAAATCCGGGCCATCAGGATACAGGAAGTCCCCGTCTTACAGTCGTGTACTGCGTAAGACTCACTTTGTCAGCTCATGAATAAATCTGACCTAGAAGCAATTCTCCCAGAATGGAACTCATTCATGAATTGGGGACTTACTGTATTGCTCGGATGTTCTCTACCTACTGAGCTCTTTCATTGAGCTGTTCATGATGAATTTCTAGCTAGAAAAGGTATTTTGAACACCCTGCATATTCTCAGGTCAGAACGCATGCCGACTTCAGTGTGACTCATTTGTAGTTTTGCTAATTCTGAGCTTTCTTCCATTGCTTTGTAGACGTCGCCGTTGTGTTTGCCTTGTGTCTTTCCTTGTCCTATTCTGATCTTGTTACCTGTGTTAACTTCTGTTAACCCAGCTTCGGACACTGAAACTCTTCCCGACCCCTCTGATAGGGTGTCGTCTCGGTGGCACAGATTTCCATCTTTCCTACAGATGTGTCCCAAATATGTGATTACTTCCTTGATTTGTTCCTTTTAGAGTTATTATTGCTGGCCTAGTGTGTGTTGAGGGAAAACAGCAGTGAGCAGGAATAAACGGTAGAGCACAAGCTCTCAAAGATTTTGTCCTGAGAGGAGGAGACAAAGTCAGTAAGGACTGGGGAACCCTTTGGGTGAGGAGGCTCCCCAACCTCTGCTCTGCTGCTTACAATGAATTATCTTTGCATGTCTTCGAAAGACCTTGTTATGAAAGCGTCACAATCTGTGTGTATTCATTATTAATTATCTAACCTCATTTCTATCGCTGACTCTTGGTTTAGTTCATTATTTTCTATCCATGCAAAACACATTAAATGTAGAGTTGTACTTATACTGTTGTCATAGAGCTGCCACTAAAGAGATACCGCCCACTTTTTTTAAATGCCTTAATTCCAAATCAAGGTGACGGAAAGCTCATTGTTCTTTTGTTTTTAGACATTTGGAAAGCTGGTGATGATCTGCCAAGTCATTCACGAAACAAAAGCAAGGTGAACAGGTCAGAAGAGTGGCATGAACATAATACATGTGAAAATGTTCAACAGAGCAAAACTGAATTTCTGTTGAGGCAAAATCATGACTTGTTTCACTTACATGGAAAAAGTATGAAGTCAGATTTAACTTTGGTTAACCAGAGCAAAAGCTGGGAAATAAAGAACCCCATGGCATTCCCTAGACATGAGGAATCCCTTTTCCCTGCTAACTGTGAAAAATTCCGTACTGAAATTCCATTTCCTGCAAGTCAAAAATGCATCAACCTTAAGTCTCACTTCAGTAGCCCCAAGCCTAAGAAGACTCAAAAAGTAGAGAAACGTCATGTATGCGGAGAATGCGGGAAAGCCTTTATCAAGAAGTCTTGGCTTACCGATCACAAGGTCATCCATACTGGAGAGAAACCCCATCGCTGCAGTCTGTGTGGGAAAGCCTTCTCCAGAAAGTTCATGCTCACTGAGCACCACCGAACACACACGGGAGAAAAACCTTATGCATGCACTGAATGTGGCAAAGCTTTTCTCAAGAGATCACGGCTCAACATCCATCAGAAAACGCATACAGGAGAGAAACAGTATATATGCAGTGAGTGTGGAAAGGGCTTCATCCAGAAAGGAAATCTCATTGTACATCAGCGAATTCATACAGGCGAGAAACCTTATATGTGCAGTGAGTGTGGAAAAGGCTTCATCCAGAAGACCTGCCTCATAGCACACCAGAGGTTTCATACCGGGAAGACTCCCTTTGTGTGCAGTGAATGTGGAAAATCCTGTTCCCAGAGGTCGGGTCTCATTAAACATCAGAGGATTCACACGGGAGAGAAGCCCTTTGTGTGCAGTGACTGTGGGAAAGCCTTCATCACAAAGCAGAAGCTCATTGTTCATCAAAGAACTCATACAGGAGAGAAGCCCTATGGCTGCAGGGACTGTGGGAAAGCTTTCGCATATATGTCTTGCCTCGTGAAGCATAAGAAAGTACACACAAGGGAAAAACAGAGAGATACAACGAGGTCGGAAAACCCTGCTGAGAGCGACAGCTCATTACACACTGGCGGTGTCGTACAGGAGACAAAACGCATTAGCACCCTGATCACCCAGGTGCCTTCTGTGGCCTCTCCATCAACACTAAACGTTAGTGGCCTTCTAGCAAACAGGAATGTAGTCCTTGTGGGGCAGCCAGGGGCCAGATACGTACGGTTAGGAAACAACAGAGAGTGGACGCGGGAGAGAGACCCGAGGAATGCGGTGAATATGGCTGTGCCTCCAGTTGTCAATTATGTCGTTTTTTATGTCCCATAGGAAAGCACTCAGATACATCCTGTGTGGAAAAGCACTGAGCAGAAGTTTCTAGTTCTTTGTGTGGCTGGGAAACAGCGGGAGAAGCTGTATACAGGCAGAGACTAGACAAGCCCATACCTGCATCCTCACTAAAGGTTGCATTGTTACACAGACACCACCAAAACATGCCCAGGAGTTGCTGTCCTGTTGATTAAATGAGCGAAGGAAGCCTAAGTTCATTTAAGAGAAGGAAATAAGTATTTCAAGGTTTAAATTGGTATCTGGAATGTTGCTGTGAACGAAAAAAAAAAAAAAAAAAAACAGGAAGTTATGGCTGTCAAAGGGTTAGCATCGGGCCACGAGCCTGTGGAGCACAGCCATGTCAGTTCTGTTTTCTCAGTCCAGTAGCTCAGGCTGGCCTCAAACTCGCAGCAATCCTCCTGCCTCAGCCTCCCAAGTGCTGGGATGACAGGCGTGCACTACCACACCTGGCAAACTTCGAGAATTTTGCAGTATATAAAGGCACCTAAGAGCAGCCTCCCATCGAGTCAGTTTTTTTATCTAACAAGTGTTTGACAAGTGCTTTCCTCGTACCTAGTCCTGCTCTAGGAGCTTAGGTTTCAATGGTGAACAAAAGAAAATGTCCGTGGTCTTTTGGAGAGAGCGTTGAGCTAGCTGGATTATGTTTAAGTGCTATCGGTACGCTCCGGCCAGTCTAAGGAGGGGATACAAACACCTACGTTAGGTGAAATGAATGTGAGTTAAGTCTCGCAGGGATATATATATGATGGTTCATTGTTCAAGGAGCATATTGTTTTGAGGAATGGGGAACATTTGTTTACAATTATATTTAAAACGCCTTAGAGCACAAATAAATATATTGTTTTTTCATGCTCACACCTTATCTTTCCAAGAGATTGCAAAGCACATAATTTTTGTGGTGTATTTACTTAAAATTTTTAAACCTATGAGTGCAAAATTAGAAATCCAACTCCTCATTCGCACTGGCCGTAGATGAGTAGTAGCTGTTGGAAAGAAGCCTAGACTCAATTTTTACTTCTGCGGAAGAGTACACTGAGCACAGAGCTGCACCTTCTGTGTCCTAAGGCCTGGGGGTCGCTTACCTGCTCCCCCTGGGCAGCTCAGAGGTTCACAGCCTGGCCTGATGGTCTGGAGGGTTTTGGCAGAGTTGCTGGGGGCTGGGGCGGGGAACTAGAAATCTTTCGCACGAGGAATTGCGGGCGTCCAAGCCGGCTTCTTCCTTGTAACAGTAACGACTGCACCCGGGTGAACTGATGTTTAAGAGAAGCTCCTGTTTATGTCCTTTGACAGAAACCACAGCGCAGCAGTTTCCCACGGGGCTGCCAAGTTGGACCACGGAGGTGGCACCGCGGAGACAGCGGGGCGTCTGTTTCCATCGCACAGTTTGAAGAGTGCTGGTTTGCATGACTTTGTTTCCCAATCACAGAGAAGAACAACTTCTTGATTTAGAAACTGAATTCGTGAACTAAGGGGCTAATCAAAAAGTGGGGTTTTTTTAAATCACTGAAGAGAACAACACTTAACAGAACTGTCACCCAAAACTTTTGTGTGTGATTGGACTTAACTGAATATAGAAGAGGCAGGGCAGAAAAGGCAAAATATCCTTAAAATAGTAAGAACACACAGGAGGATAAGAACCTTAGTCTCTAGAAATAGAGGACAGTATTCACTCGGTAGGCTGAGGCAGGAGGATCGCTGTGAGTTCGAGACCAACCTAGGCTATATAGTGAGTTCCAGCCCAGTCTCAATTACATAGCGAGACCCTGTCTTAAAAACAAACAAACAAACAAAAACCCACAAACCTATAAACGGGAATTTTCTAAACCTGATAATGAGCATCATTGGCTCCCACTTTCCCCTTCCTCTCCTACTCAAACAAAACGACACTGCTACAACCCGCAAATCTGCACCTGGGCCATAGTGCTGCTACTGATTTTCCACGTTACCAGTACCTGGGCCACAGCAACGGGTAGGAAAAGCCTTCTGCTGTGGTACTGTACGTGTGCAGGACCTCTGGCAGCAACTGCCTGTGTAGCTCCACTTAAGGCAGGGGGCGAAGCGGGAGGAAAGAAAGCTAGTTACATTTGCTTTTGCTCATCCAGGATAGCACTGTACTTGACCCAGAAAGGAGGCCGTTTTCCCTACAGTGTGTGCTTCATGTTTAGTATAGGCAGCTCAGAAAAAGACAGACCCACAGACATGGTGAGCAGGGCGGGACCACTGTACTGAAAAAGGTGTCCAGAAAAAGCCTAGCATGTGGAAAGAAGTGCTATTGCTCTCAGCAGCTACTCCTTCTGCACCTAGAGAAGGGGTGGGGAGTTGGATGCCTGGGGCAGGGACTGCCAAGCGGGTCTCCAAAGTTTCTGTCAGTGTGTGCGCTTGGCCAGCGTCCCACACTTCCGCTATTCTCGCCCCCCCTGCCCCGCCCTTTCACAATCCGGGGACTCAGAGCGAAGTGGACGCTGGGGCGCCATTGCGGATGGAGCAAGCCACGCCCATCGCGGCGCTGCGGTGGGAGGGGTGCGAGGAAACTGAGGCCGTTCCCAGCCGCTTTGGTCCCTTTTCCTTCTGGTTGCCAGGGACGCCCTACTACGCTGTGCAACTGCGTAAGTTCGAACAGGCCAGTGCGTGTCCAAGGGCAACAAGACGCGGGCGTCTGCTAGGGACGGTAAGGAAAGATAGCGATGCTCTTTGCGCACTTCCGCCTCGCCATTGGGCGCGGCCATCTTAGAAGAAGGTCGGAGTCCGTACAGCGGTGAAGGCGAGGAGAAAGGGCTGTGAAAGCCTAGAATTAGCAGCGTTCAGAGTTGGCAAAAACAAAGGCGTTTTTGAACTCCAACCTTTGAGGATAGTGTGTGGGTGTGTCAGTATGAGAATGTGTAGTTCCCCCAAAAATATTGGTTCAGTTTATTCAGGTATAGGAGGTGTTAATCATAGCAGAATGTAGTAGATGTTCCTTTTTTGGAATGCAACCTAGATCCAGTTGCAATTTTTCATTTTCTTTTGACACAACAATTCAAATACTAACTTTGAATTTTTTATAAAGTTTTCTTTTGTATTTAAAAACGATGTACAATGATTAGTTGAATACTGTGGTAAAATATGGAGCATAAAATATACAGCTATTTAGATTTACTGTCATGAGTCAGCTGAGGATTCTTTTGCTTAATGTGAATAGAAGTCACGAATTGGTAAAGGGGGCCGGGGATTTAGCTCAGGGGTTCGGTGGCCCACCTGGCAAGCGCAAGGACCCGAGTTCGATCCCCGGTACCAAAAAAAAAAAAAAAAAAAAAAGAATTGGTAAAGGGCATCCTCCTAGACGTCAGGGGCTCAGGGATAGCCAGCGGCTCTCTGCTCTTGTTACAGCTCACAGTGTTAGTGCTCTTGGTGGCTCCTAGCCCCTGCTATTAGCTTTTGAGCAGCTGAGGCTCCAGCCTCCTTGATAGCTTCCTAGAGCCCTTATAGCAGTTTCCACAGGTTCTTTGGGCTCTATCACTGCAGGTCGTTGTTGGTCGCCACCAGTCAGCACCGGTTGATACTTGTTGCTGCTGCTCCCTGATGGTTACTGCTGATGTCCACCAATGATCTCTTTAGAGGTACTAGCCACTGCTATTACCAGCTTTAGTGCAACCTACTTAGTCCACTCTTGAGGTAGGAATCATGAGTAGGTAGCAGGACCAATCCAGCAGGGGCTTATTAAGATGTATGCTGCAGCATAGGAGGGGTAATGCACAGGAGGGAACCCCTCTCGCCTGGCCTGAGTAGTGTGAGGGAGTGCTAGTTACAGCAGGCACGGACTGCCCTTGTGATTTTATACATTTACCAGCCTTCTGAGGACTTCAGCAGTCATGACAGAGGGAAACAGGGTCCTCAGAACTGTCCACAGGGCAGTCATCTGGAATAGATCCATAGTTTAAGCCTGCTACAGCCACGGCAAATGTCTCCTGGAGTCACGCTGGGGCATCAGTTCAGCAGAACTTGGGCACGAGCAGCCACTTGACTGACACCTCCCGCCTTGCATAAAAGTGGCAAGGCTAAAACTGCAACTGCTGTTGCTCTTAAGCCACCTCTAGAAAGGTCAGCTGTGCTGTTCATGACTCAGCTGAGTGCAGATTTCCAAGATTTCAGCAGTGGGCCACATCCCAACCCAATCTTTGCCCCATCACATGTGATTTTTTGTTGTTGTTGTTCATTCCTCACAGAGGCTATAGCAGCACCTAGAACAGCAGGAGCAAAGAAAGGTGTTAAGGCTGTCAGCCAAGCTCTGGTTCATGTCAGCATGGCCTGCAGGGAGAAGTCAAAAAGCAAAGTAACACCATGTTTGGTGGGAAGACCATTACCCTGGAGGACTCAAGGGTAGCACAGGATGTGGTGTGACGGCAGCTGGTCACCTTTGGCCATCAGAGGGAAAGGAGAAGGGTTGGGCCTCGCTTCTGCTCTCTCTCATTACTATATTTTCAGTATATGTGATAATAGATTCTTCAGAGGAAAAAAAGACGATCTGTAAGATACTATATGTATTATGGTCTGGTTATTGGAATAAATCATAAACATGTATCTTTGAAATTTTTGACTAGTTAAAGCATTGTTTAGATTACATTAGAGGCCGGGGATTTAGCTCAGTGGTTCCGCCACCTGCCTCGCAAGGTCCCGAGTTCGATCCCCAGGACCAAAAAAAAAAAAAAGTCAACAAATTAGATTACATTAGGGTACATATCAATGAAAATGTCATAAATTTGATTTAAAAATTCCAATTTTGGCAATTCTGTTAATATATTGAATCATAATCATGAATTTATTGTAGAGGTTTTAATTTCAGGAAAAAACTTTAAATGACTAATAAGGAAGTTTATCATACAGTAGATACATAAAAAACTAGTCTCATTTTATAAGATCAATATACTTACATGCATCTGAAAACTTGAGAAGAATATTTTGTTAATGTTTGACTTTAGGTACAATTATAGTGACTTAAAATTTCTTAACTTTGTTATATATTCCAATTTATATATAAAAATGTGTCTAAATTCCTGGGTATTATGTCATCTCCAGTATGATTAAATTTCAGGCCTGTTCATCTAAACTACCAACCTCTGAAAAGTTCAGCACTTGGTACAGAGCTCAGGACACCTCATCCAGGAACCTAGTGATCGGTTCAAACAGTGAGCTGAGCTGGTCTTGCCATGGCAGGATGTACAGATTCACAGGACAGCCAGGATTCAACAGTCTACCTGGCAAAGCTCAGCACCTGATTCTTTGATGGAAAATATCTGCCTCAAATCTAATAATCCAGAATTTAGGGCAGAGATGTTCTGATTGAAGCATAGAGCATAAGTTCTTTTTATCTGTTTTTTGTAGCACTGGAGCTTGAACCCAGGGCTCATGCATGCTGAGTAAGAGCTCTACCACTGAGCTATACCCCAGCCCTCAGAAAGTTCTTTGCAGAAGTGCAGAATCCTGGACACCAACCTCAGAAGCTCTAGGGTAGGAGGTCTGGACTTGCTTTTTTACAAGCCTCTTGGAGGATGCTGAGTCAGGGTCCCAGATACAACCCTCGGAAACAACTGTGTGGTGTTCTAGACTGACAAATATTATACACCCCTCACAACACTTGGATTTTAGCTCTGATTACATCTACTCAGAAATACCTGGCCTGAAAATGATTACACTGGCTCTTCAGTTACGACCTATTGACTTAGGCGTCCTAGCTCTTCTAGCACTTAGCAGAGCTGAATTCAAAAAAACTACACATTCAGCAGTCTGAATGGACTTTAGAGGGCAATCTGCTGAGTGAAAGGGGGCCTATATTAAAGGTTACATATTGTATGATTCCAGTTTTATAGCATCCTTGACAAAATTGCAGTGGTTGAGTACTCATCAGCAGTTACCTTGAGGTCAAGCTGGGGGCAGAGGGTTTGTGTATTAAAAGGTAATAGAACAGGATGATATTTTCTTGTACAGTTTGTGATTTGGGTGGAATTTACAGAAACCTGTACATTACAGAATTTTTTAGAATTCTGCATACACATAAAAACTAATAAAACATTATCTATCAGATGCATTGAAAAACTAGTGAAGTCCAAATAAGATCTGTAATGTAATTGGAACTGATCTCTAAACTGTGAATCTCACTTAATGAGAGCAAGCACACACTATTCCCAAAGTTGTTTGATCCTGAGCACCAAATATTAAAAAGTGCTGACACTTTAACTGGTTTTAATTATATAACATATTATGGCTAAAATAGTATCACTGAAGAAACTGTGTGAAGGGTACTAAAGGAACATGTATTTTGTAATTTCTTGTGAACCTAAACTTATTTCAAAACTGTGAAATCATTTAAGGTATTTTTGTCAACTACTTAATACTACTTATGCGCTTTGATAGACACCAGTATGTTTAGCTACATTTATAAATTTAATGTACTTTTGAAGTGTATCAGTAGTAGACAAATTCTTAGCTGATGATACGTTACGTGGGCACAGAACACACTTGCCTTTTACATAACATTGAAATTTAATCAATTATGAGAACAAGCCATTTTAAAATGGTGGAATCATTTGGAAAAGTTGGTCTGTTCCAAAATAGTTACCAGGTGTGTGATAACTTTAGCCTTGTGATGGAAAACCCTTCAAATAGATTGTTTTCATGAGGCTCTTTTGCTTCTGTGAATGCGTGACACTCTGCTGGTTACTACACGTTTAGTGTGTCTTACCAGTTTTATCTGTGCTCCTTAATGACACAAGAGGCAGAGTATAACACTGAAAGCCTGCCACATTCATTGCCATTGGAGGTTTCTTCAGTGTTTATCTCATTACTAAGATTTCATTTCTGGGCAAAGGTTTTTCTATGCTCGTTATGGCACTACTGTGTTTCAGCTCACTGATAATCTATTTTGAACACCAATGAGATAGATAGTCTTTCTTCCTATACAAGGCTTTGTCTCCTGACTTAATATGTACTGTATCTCAACATACACTTTTCTAGACATGTAATTACTTAGAAATTTTTCTTCAAGGCTTTTCTACTTTGAGTGTATCAGAGGGTTTTCCCACGTTTGACATACACCTCAACTTAATCACTGAAGGCACTAGTACATTTTCTATAGACGTTTCATTTCATTCCAAGCAATTCCATAATCTCCAATAATAAAGACCTAGTAGTACGTTGCTCTACACTATACTCATGAATGCTAGATGCACACTAATATGTGAATCCCAGTACTAATACAGTTTGCCCTTACGTGACTTTTCTTGTATGTAATGAGTTCAGATTATGTGAAAAGGATTATGTACCCTGATATAAGATTGTTCAAGTGTGTACTGCTGTATTTTAATGAAACTTGATAAATGAGGCTACCTCCAGCTGCTAAATCCATAGTCTCCTCTCTAGGATTAGCTCTTTGATTACAATGGGTGCATCAAGGAATTAGAAGACAATTCATTTTGAAGATTTTCCCACAGTGATTGTATTAAATTCTTGTCTAAATTATTTGGTAAATAGTTAGAGTGACAATGTACAAAGTAGAATTTTCCACACTCAATATACATAAAAGAAGTCTATCCTACATGAAATATCTGATGTTGCACAAGATGTACTTTCTTCCTGAAAGCATAAGCATTATTCATTAAATTGTCAGGGTTTGATTCCATTATGAGTTTGCTGATGATGCACAATGAGATTTCTCTTTGAGGAGAAAGCTTCTCCACAATCACTGCAAATAAAGGGTTCCTCTCCTGTATGAGTTCTTTAATGAACAATTTGGCTGCTTTTCACAGTGAAGCCTTTATCACGTTCATTGCATGCATATGGTTACTCTCCGGTATGAACTTGCTTATGTAAAATGAGCTCAGTTTCCATGACAAAGCCTTTTCCATATTCACTACATTTATGGGATTTCTCTCTTATATGAGTTTGCTGATATACAATGAGATAACATTTCATGGTGAATCCTTTTCCACATTCACTGCATACAAAAGGTTTCTCTGTGTTGTGAGTTTGCCAATGTACAAGATTGCTCTTAAAGAAAAAACCTTTTCCACATTTATTGCATACATAGGGTTTCTCTCCATATGAGGTCACTGGTGTACCATCAGTTCACTATTAACAATGATTAAAAGGTTAACTATTAACCTCTCCAGCATACACTACATTTGTAAGGTTTCTCTCCAGTATGGGTTCGCTGATGTACGATCAGCCGACTCTTCAAGGGGAAGCCTCTCGCACACTCACTGCAAATGGAGGGTTTCTCTCCTGTATGAGTTCGCTAATGTACGAGTGCAGTCTTCACAGTGAAACCTTTTCCACACTCATTACATACATATGACTTCTCTACAGTATGATTTCTCTGATGTGCAATGAGATTACTGTTCCTAACAAATCCTTTTCCACATTTACTGCACACATAGGGTTTCTCTCCTGCGTGAATTTGTTGATGTTCAAGCTGACGTTTTATGGTGAAACCTTTCCTACATTCATTGCATATATATGGTTTCTCTCCTATATGATTTCATCCGTGTAGGACGGCTTAGTGCCCTGTGGTGACGCCCCTCCCACATTCACTGCAGATGCAGGCCTTCTCTCCTGTATGAGTTCGCTGATGTATGATAAGCATGCTTTCCCAGTGAAGCCTTTTGCACATTCACTACATACATAAGACACCTCTCCAGTATGATTTTGTTGATGTACAATGAGATTACGCTTGCCTGAGAACCCTTTTCCACACTCATTACATACATAAGTTTTTCTCTCCAGTGTGAATTCATTGATGTTCAACCAGACGGCTCTTCAGGGTGAAGATTTCTCCACATTCACTGCAAGTAAATGAATTGTCTTTCTAATGGATTCTCTGATGTTCACTGAGCCTGGACTTTCTTGAGAATACTTTTGCACACATATTGCATCCATAAGGTTTCTCTCCTGAATGAACTCTCTCATGATCACTGAGCTGAGACTTCTTGGCAAAGGCTTTTTCCTCATTCGCTGCATACATGGATTTTCCTATTTCATGACTTTTCTGATTCTTAATGATTTGGGACTTGTTAATGGGGTTTCTACTTACAAGAAATTTAACTGCAGAATGGAATTCTTCACACTTGCCATTCATAAATGTCTCCACATTTTCCTTAAATTTAGTAGCATTCTTAATTTCATAGTTTTTGTTCTGCTTGATAAAACTTTAAATTTGATTTCAAAGATTTTGTGTGTAACACTGTTGCTTTGAAGAACATTATTTCCAAAGGCATTGTGTTTATAGTAGTGTTCCATACTCTTCAGCATTCTTTGATTTTTCATGTGACGCTGCCCATGTTTACCAACTCTGCCATTTTCTACAAAAGAAGAGAATAATGAACTATAGCATATGTGGACTATACTTGTAAAAGGTTCTTTGGTGTTTTTAAAAAATGGTGTTTGGGCCATGTAGCTCAGTGACTGTGCATGCTTGTCTAGCAGGCAAGAGGCCCTGGGTTCAATCCCCAGCACTTCAAGGAAAAAAAAAAAGCCTTTTTTGTGATGACACTATGATAACAGTATTAAAAAGTCCCTAAATGATTGTTCCTTATTTCGCACTTATTGGCAAAATCATAATCTAAACAAATAAAAAATTTAAAAAATATTTAAATGTGTATATAAAAATATATAAAAGTGTGTAACGTTTGCCAATTAACAATCTGTAGGGCTTCGGTTGTTTCCTAAATAGGACCTTGCAAAACATGTAAACACAACAGAATACAAGCAAATCATTCTTGTAAGCAAATAACTGGGTTTTTAGGAATACTATTCCACAAAACTTAGGGATATATCAGTCCCAAATGATGGAACCCTGATCCAGAATGATAAAATGACATTTATTCACTCCACAAATACTTATTAAATGGCTCTCATGTAAAAAGCACACTACTGATGTTAGGGATATACAAAATACGCCTTATTATCACTGTTCTCAAAATCTAAGGGAACATAAATGAGAAATAAAGGAAAAAGAAGGGAGTTAGACATGGTAAATGTGATTTGAAGAAGCAATGGAGATGGAGGGAGAAATTTTTATATTGTATATATATTGGTATAAAGAAAATACAGAGTTAAATGATGGCTTCAAAGGAGAGAACAGTTAATGAAAGTGAGGAATCGAGGGTTATTTCACTAACTACAGGAGCCACGGAGGAGGTGGAAGAATCTTATAACAAGATGGGGAATATTACTAAGCCCAGAACCTATAAAATAAAGTCTGTATTGTGAAATATGAAGTTTGGGACTGATTTTAAATATGTAATACTAACACCAAGAATCTAGTTCAAAGTATAAACGAATATAGCTATGTGAAAATATACACGAATTATTCAAGAGAAGAGAAATTGGGCTGGGACTGTGGTTCCCTTATAGAGCCACAAGCTTTGCACACATGTGACCCTGGGCTTGATCCCCAGCACCACAAAAGGAAAGAAAAAGAGGGCTGGATGATAAGTTGGGAGGACATGTAAAGTGAAAAGTGATGAATGTACAAAATCAAGATTTTTAGATATTCCTGTAGTGGAGTTTTAGATCCCATTTCGAGGAATGAAACTCTGACTACAAAAGTCAGAAAAATATGCAAAATAAAATGTGTAGAATATATCTGTTACCCAACATGGATGTGAGGTCTATAGAATCTGAATTAAAATGAATTGAAACTGACTTCTATGAGGAAATCCTATTTCTAAGTGTGCCTTTTGACATGTAAACCACTAGAAATTAACTTTCCCAAAGTACTAATACAGTTCATAGAAGAGTCAACATTTTAACCTTTGGTCTAGCTGTGTTGTGTTTCCATACATTACACTTACAATGAAACAGGGAAGCCATGACTGTTAGGGAATTTTGCAAGGACCAAGATTTTAATCATTCAAATATTCAGACTTTTGGTTTGAAAAAGCCCAGTGAGGGTGTCCAATTATTGGCTATTTTAATCGGGAAGAGATGTTTGTTTTAAATCAGTGTCTTGAAAAGGCAGTCAGAATGCCACGTATCTGTACAGTTTCTAAAATTTACCCCTCTTCTTCCTTCTGTAATGTCAAGCTAATTTTCTCAAAGCACCAATTGACATTTAAAGGGGAACTGTTGTTCTCGATACCCATTCTTTGCTTTTGCAGTGGGCAATTCCTATACATTTTGAAGAAAGAGGAAAAGGTGGAAAACAATGGTGATTTGAGAAATTTGTAGGAGGCAGTCTACCTCTCCGTAGACTTCTCTAGAAGGACAAGTGCTTCTAAATAGGATGTAAAAACTGTCACCTTCACATTCTGTATGTTGCACCCATGGGCACGTGACATCTGAATTTTTCCCATTTCAACCTCCCTAAAACAGCAGTTCGTCATCATGCAGCTAACAGCATTCCCGCAAAGGGGAAACCTTTGGTCCTATAAAAAAAAGAAGAAGAAGAAAAAAAATGCTTTTTACCCGTTTGGTTGGCTCTAGTCTTCCTGTTTGTTTCTAGTGGGTAGTTGTGGGAAGCCAGCCATGGCCCACTGGCTTTTTGAAAGATAACATTTGTTCCTTTTTAAGGACTGCACGTGTTAAACTTGTTTTTGACCCTGCACGGGAGAAACTCGGACAGCCAAAGATCTGTAGGAGTCAGGTGCTTCCTGTTAAGGATCAGACGTTATCTGTAGGAGTCAGGTGTTGTAACTCCATTTTGTTAAGTTCCTCCACCTATTTGGGAATCATGATTATTAGTCGCAAGTGTTGTTAATTCGTTTTTCTTGAGCCTGCTTTCTCTTTCCCGTGTGAACCCTCGTTCCCGTGGAGCGGGTGTTGAGGTTACTACGGTAATCCTAGCCCATAATAGTTTGGTCTTTTCCTTTAAAAGGCTGATGCCTGCCTGCAATAAACGTCGCCTTGATCAGACTCTTGTCTTGGTGTCCTTCCTTTCTCTCTGCCCCATCTCCACCCCTCTGCTCTTTCAGGTTTGAGACACTGCTGGACAGTGCTGTGTCGCAGGGGCCTTGTGCCTCCAAAACTCATTAGGCCTCAAACACATTCGAGCCTCCAGCACTGAATTCAAATTACTTCTGAAAACTAAAACAAACCTTTTTGCATTAACATCTCTCTCATCCCAAGCTTCTCTGTCGCGGAGCCCCGCAGTGAATTGCTAATCTGAATCATACACTGCTTTTACCAATGCACACTTCCTACCCCAATTCTAGGCCACTTAATCACGCAGAATGCTCTTCAATGACCATAAACCCTGACATCTGCACGCCGTCGTTATCTTCAAGACTCTTAATCACTGACCGCCTATGGCTCCATCGCCAAAGCCAAGACTCCCCAGACCCTAAACCCTATCTCCGGTCCCGCACGGTTCCCCTTCATACTACTGCCAAGCAGCGCCTAGAACCAGTCACACAGAATCCTGAGTCCCTCCAGACTCTACTAGTAAAGACCAAAGGCTGAAGTCCCTTCCAAAACAACTGGAGTGTGGCACTTGCTGGTCTCCAACAGACTCTCAGCCCTTCCCAGCGAAGCTGAGCGACCGGGGGTCGGGTGGGAAACACAAAGTCCCGGAAGTCGGAGCCTGCGGAAGCTCCGCGTTCTGACGTCACGGCCACGCCCCTCAGAGCTCTAGGACCCGGATATTGATGGCGGCTCCAGGTCACCGGTGTGGCGGCTACACACTGAATTAACTTCAGGGCGCCTTAATCACCGCTTTTACTGCGGAAGTTACTAGAAGAGGTACACGAATGTCAGCAGGCTGATGGTTGTGCGCTCTCGGCGGGAGCGGTATCCACGTGGGTTTCTTAGGGCATTACAGTATGTTGAGTGCTTAGACAAACCTGGGAGTAGCCTGATGGCCTCTGCGTTGGAAGCGCCTCTGGAGAACCTGCGAGGTTTGTGCAAGACGAGGTCTGAGGAAGACGTAGACGCAGCAGCCAGAGTAGAAAAAAGCAGTTGATGCTTAGCATGTCCACGGGAGATGAAAACATTTATCCAGAGCAGTGTCTGTGTACAGCTGCATGGAGTGTAGAGGTAGGAGATAAGGATCAGGCTTCAGATGGAACCAGTTGTTTTCCTAAAACACATTTAGATGGACATGGAACATGTAAAACTACTACATGACTAAATAAACCAGTATTTGGCAAACAACACCTGATAAATATTAGCTAGTTTTTATGCTGAAGACGTAAAGCAGTAAAGAATGTAACTTGGTATTGCCTCTTTTAAAGAAGCAACTTGGAATTGTCTAGTTAAGATTTTGTATTTACCTGGCATAAAGTCAGCATCTGGTCCTCAGGGCAGCCCATTTGGGGACACTGGCTGATGACTCGAGGGAATATGTGACATGACAGGATGTGTAGAATCACAAGACATAATAGGATTTGAAATTTGGGTTGAGGAGTCCATTTCTTATTTGCTACGAAGCATCCGTCTGAATGCCATCCGTGATAGGCCATTACTTTCCCTATTTTGTTCATTAGTGTCTACAATAGTGCCTAATACAATGCTGATACTCAATAACAATACAGTATAGCGAATTACCTGATACCCTGAGTGTGGGGTTCCACTGTGAGACAGCAACTTCATAGCAAATTTCTTTTCTTTATAAATAGGACTTATTGTTTCCAAGCTAAATCTAGCTTTATTAAGGGAAAGAACTGTGTATAGAAGAAATGAGAAGGACAAATGATGAAGATAAAGCATATTTCTCAACTCAGTAAGTCAGTGGAGCCAGGATGTCTGAGATCCTGGCAGTGTTAAAAATTGATGGGTAAAAGGATTCTTCTCCGAGACATCCGAATGGTTCACACCTTCACCAATCTCGGGGTTTTTGTGTGTGTGTGTGGGGGGGCAGATACTGATCCTTAGAATTTCTTTCCACTGGCCCCTTTCCTTCCATGAGAAGTTATATTGATTAGTCTGTTAAGTCATTCATTTACCTTCCAATTCTACATATAATTTCTATTTTGCTATGTATTGGGGAATATACAATTACCTACAAAGTATGAAGGAATTTATAATTTAGGTACAGAGATAGGGTCATTTTAGAAGAGATACCCATATCCTGTTTTATATAAAATTAATCCTTTCTCCCTTCCACTCTAAAGGACAATACGCTCCTGGAACAAGAACTTACAAGGATACTTTGATACCACTGCATGTATTATAGCTATATACATCCTTTAAGTACATGCACTAGAGAGTAAATATTCATTTTTTGAGACAAGGTCTCATTATGTAGCTTCGGCTAGCCTTAAACCCATGGCTGTCCTCTTGCCTTAGCCACCCAAGTGCTGGGATTATAGGCCACCACCACTACACCCAGCTGGAGAGTAAAAATTTCTACATGCATGGAATTTCGTTTAAATGAAATGGAGACTCAAAAATAGCAAGAACTTTTTTGTTCATCACTGTCATCACCTACACTTTCTAGAATAGCACCAGGTAATATAGTTGATAAAAATTTTTCTCAGTGGTGTGTTTACCAGTAACGAGACAAACCACAGGATGAGAACTGCCTTCCAGGGTAAGAATGTGGCTGACTGGTTACTGGTTCCATACTCATTGGGAACTTCATTCCCTGACATGATAAACACATCTACATGTTACATTACTGAATTAAGCATATTCCATTTCCTTTCGAAGGACTTCATTTCTTAGAACCAAAGAAATACAAGTGGTAACTATATAATGATCCTGGGTGGAAACAGAAGACTCATACCAGAAAAGGGGGGGTGTGCATAGTGTTATAACTTTGACCAATGAGGTACAATGCAAATCACCTTCTTTTTATTAAGGAGCCACTAACATATTGAACAAGAGGTTCATTTAAGGTATACTGTCCTAAAATACAAGTTCTATGTTATCTGTAATGATTTAGACTTGTGACAGAATTCTCTGAACTATGCTTTTTCACTGGGCTTATTTGCTTCTTTGATATTTTGCTGAAAATGTTCCAGTTAGTGTATTCATAGTTTAATCTCTATATTATTTTCTCTGACAACTGAGGCAGAACAAACCACTGGCAACCCTGCTATGTTCACTATCAAAGGTCTTCCAACCATTTCTCTTTTGCATGAACTCTGACACCTGCAGTAGAGAACTTATTCCTGGGCAAAGACTTTTCTATGCTCAACATATTTCTAGCAACTATGAGCTCATTTTCTGTGATCTATCATCACTGATGATAGGGTCTATCTTCCCATAAGACTTTCCTAGTCTCTGCATTCATACTGTTTTTCTCGTGGCATACACTTATTGGCCAACAGTGAGCTAGGTTTTACTCTTCTACCTTAAGTGTATCATGGTTTATTCCTTTGTGTTTTTTCATGGCATAAAATGTGATGTAACTGATCACCAAAAGCACCATTATATTCACTGCCTTCATAAGCTTTCTCTTCAGTGAAAATTATATTCTCTGCTGAGGGTGAACTTCTGGGATCTCTTTGTCCCACAATGACTCTATTCCTATTTGCTTGAAACTCACTGTTGCTTAATGAAGTCTCAGAAGGCTTCTGTACAGTCACCATGCTAATAGAATTTTTCCCCTGTAGATCGTTTCTTTGTGATATGCTGTGACTCTTTGAGAAAGTATTTTTCAGCTTCACTGAATCAACACATTTCTCTCTTGCGTGCAGCATTCCCTTATGATAAACAAGGCAGGACAAGTGAGAGAAAGCTTTCCCACAATCAGAGCACCCATAGGGTTTCTCTCCTGTATGAGTTCTCCGATGTCTGTTGAGGCATGACTTATCTCTGAAAGCTTTTCCGCAGTCACCACACATATAGGGCTTCTCTCCTGTGTGAATTCTCTGATGATTAATGAGACCTGACTTGTGTGAACAGGATTTTCCACACTCATTACACACAAAGGGAGTCTTCCCTGTGTGAAATCTCTGATGTGATATCAAGCATGTTTTCTGGCTGAAGCCTTTCCCACATTCATTACACAAATAAGGTTTCTCTCCAGTATGAGTACGCTGATGTATAAGGAGATTGCCCTTCTGGATGAAGCCTCGTCCACATTCAGTGCACGTGTAAGGCTTCTCTCCAGTATGTGTTCGCTGATGTACAGTGAGATTGCCTTTCTGGATGAAGCCTTTTCCACAGTCACTGCATATATAGGATTTCTCTCCTGTGTGAGTTTTCAGATGTGCATTGAGCTGTGATTTCCAGCGGAATGCCTTGTCACATTCAGCACATTCATAGGGCTTTTCTCCAGTATGAGTTCTCTGATGTTCAATGAGCCTGGACTTCCTGGAGAAGGCTTTCTCACACAGACTGCATCCATGAGGTTTCTCCCCTGTATGAACTCGCTGATGATTAATAAGCCGAGATTTCTTGATGAAGCCCTTTCCACAGTCACTGCATACATAGGGTTTCTCTCCTGTATGAATTTTCTGATGTGCAATGAACTGTGACTCCCAGCGGAATGCTTTGTCACATTCAGTGCATTCATATCGTTTCTCTCGTGTATGAGTTTTCTGATGCTCAGTGAGGCGGAACTTTCTGGAGAAGACTTTCCCACATACACTGCATCCATGAGGTTTCTCTCCTGTATGAACTCTCTGGTGATCACTGAGGCGAGACCTTTTGAGGAAGGCCTTCCCACATTCAGTGCATACATGGGGTTTAGCTGACTTTTGATGTGAATTTATAGTGACAGAATTTCCACATTCCGGGAATTTAATTTCAGTATGAAAATTTTCATGCTTGCCATGGAGGAATGATGTTCTATCTCCATTAATCTCAACAGGATTCTTTACTTGATAGCCTCTATTCTGTTTAACATCACTTAAATTTGATTTCAGAGTTTTCTCATGTAAGTTATATATATCACGATTTTGCATTAAAAGGAAATTACTTTTCCTCTGATGAATGATATTTCCAAATGCCTCATGTTTATGGTGTTCTGTTCTCTTCAGCCATCTTTGGGTTTGTAAGCGTACCTGTACATCAACTTTCTGGATTTCTAGGAAAGAGAATAACAAAAAAGCATTCCATGAGCATAGAACAGAATAAAATTACTTCACGAAATTGTTTCTTTATTGGTAACACTATTCTCCCAAGTTAAAGAAATTCCCAGTGGATATGTTCATTATCACTTGGACAAGTGTAAATACAGTAATTTAAAAAGAACAGAGTATAAGTAAGGTTAGTATTAAATAAAAATTAAGCTTCTATTTAAATGTGACTTTACAAAGTATGCTGAGATAATAAAATACATTTAAGTCATGATTAGCATTAGATGATAGAACTTAGTATTTCTTTCAAAATGCTGAGGGGCACGTTCATATATCTACAAACCCTTGTTAAATTATGACTGTATCAAGCATTGTATTGGTGATATTGATATAATAGCATCCCCCCATTCTCTGAGGATCTATTCTCAGAAAAAACAACACGGAAACAATGAAATATAGATAGAATATAGTACAAATTATGAAAAGTGGTTGGTGGGAGCAGGGAGGAAGAAAAGTGGAGGAAACCTGGATATAATCTGAAGAAAGAAGAGACACTGTTCACCCGTGGTTTCAACATGAGGAGATTAATAAAGGTGAAGAGTTAAGGATTATTCCCAATTATTTGGATTGAGCTACTAGTGGAATAGTGTCATTTTCATGAGATGGGTAATAACACTGAGGTTTTGAGTATTGGGGGAAATCAAGTGGCATTTTAAAGAGTATCATCCTCGAGATGGGTTTTGAATACTTAAATCCAGGTATGAAAAATACAATTGAATATATAAATTGAGAATGGTCTTGCCTGGAAATAATGAAAATTATCATTTTTATTTTTATTTTTTTAGTAGTGGGAATCAAGCTCAGGACCTTGCACCTGCAAGGCAGGTGCAGTGCCATTGAGCTAAATCCCTGGCCCAAATTACCATTTTTAATAATGGAAAAAGTGGAAATTACCAGCACAATAAACAGGTGATTGGATAAGATCATGTTTGGAAAAACATAACAGAATGAAACAAAATAAAGTCATTTATTAACCTCAAACTTATGATTGCTGCAATAATTGAGTTTGGGTTTAGAAAAGCCCACTGAGGGTATCAAACACTACAATGACCAAGAAAATAAACACTTATTATGATACAGGTTTTAGGAACTATATACCAAAAGAGGTGAATTAGAAGGTTGTAAATTCAACATTTGATTTCCAGATAACTAGTAAATTCTTGGGTGGTCATCTTATTTCTTTAATCCTTCACTCTGTAGAATACTATCAAACCAAATTACCCAAAACATCAATTTCACATTTAAAGGAAAACTTCCATAACAAACATGTCAACATTTTAGATTGCTATGAAATATTCTTCTGTATCAAAAGAGAAAAATAGTGATTCTCCATGGATTCAGACCACATAGTCTCCAGAACATGTGCTGGTGCAACTATCACCTTTTTCAGTCTCATTCTGTACTTGGTATGCATGTAATATGTAAGAATGTCTACCCCAAAATAACACAAAACAAACTTACACCTCAATTCTATCTCAGCTACATGGTTAACTTTCTTACCCCCATGTTTATACTCAATTAATTTCCAGGTTCAAGCTAATATCTTGACAGCTCCCCCCACAAGGAATTGCGCATTTCCAATTTCACATCTACACTGCTATTTTTTTTTTTTTAAATAGGTTTCTGGAGAGGTCACTGGCACATAAAAATTGAATATATTTAATGTGTAATTTGATGTTTTGATATAGGTACATATTGTAAAATAATCATATACACGATCCAGCTTATTAACATATCTATTGCTTCCACATATTTACTGTATATGTGTATCCCCTTCGTTCCTAGCCCTTCATCATTTTATTTATTCAAATCTTAAATATGCCTCACTTATAAATCATACTATCATTCCCCCTTCTAGGTGACTGCAATCTCTATTTCCATAAATTTCTAAAGCATTCTCTATTACTGCTTATCTGGGCAATTTACTTTCTACAGCTGTGAACGGTAGCAAAGGGTGCCTCAAGTTCAGCAGCTGAACTTTTTTATGTATTACAAGTAAATCTGTCCTCTATTATTACTAAAATCTTATTCCTGACAACTTTTCTTTCATTTCTCCATAAATCCAATCTCTAGCCTGCTAGGATTGGGTTCATAAACTGGGTTCAAGAGGGCTTACTTAAACTCATGTATTGACTAGCCCAGACTGTCACCCCAAATCTAACAGAAATGGACTCAGAAGAAGAGGTGTTGGTAGACACGATAGAAAACTATTCGCTTAACAGATACTCATCTTTCTCATCACTACTTGTCCAAACTTCTTTATCTGTGCTCTCATTAAAGAAGATTTTACCTAATGCAAATTTCTATCCTAGTCCTAACCTCTTCCAGGTTTGGTACATCCTACAATAGCAGAGAGCACTTATGCAAAAGTGAGAAGCATGTCTAAATTATAGTTTCCAAAACAGAAGGCCTGATTTCTCAGCCTACATCTCCTTTTCTGCCCATTGTCTTCATCTCAGGAAATGGGACTCATACTGGAAACCTTACTATAATCCTTAGTTTCTCTTGCACCCTTTGTCAACATCAATAGAAAATTGCATCTACCCTCCTTTTTAAATATATTTAAAAACTATTAACGTTCATCCCCCGCTACCCAAGTCAGACAATCACTCTGTCTGTTAAAGCTACAGTCACTTATATGGATTTCACCTCTTCTTCCTGCTACAAAGGAGCCAACTTGATCTTTTAAATATAAATTATAACATGTTATCCTCTACTTAAAACTCCCTCATGTTTCTCATCTCTTTTTTTTTAAAAGAAAATAGTCTTGAAAATTCCTACGTGACCTGTCTACCCTTAACTCTAGCAACTACCATACTGATCTTATCTCCAAACACTGCCACTCCTTTTACTCAAGTAAATAAGTTTCCTTCAAGTTCCTCAAACATACACTTGCTTTGGGCCTTTGAACTTCCTATTTTATCTACAAGGAAAGTAATTCACCCAAGTGACCTACTCATGTGCCTCACACAGCTGCTCAAAGACACCTTTCCAAACAGCCATTCCTGTCCTAAAGTACAGCTCCCACATTATTCCCCTCCCACATTATTCCTTTATGCTCTTTTATCGACCTTCTCAAATCTTATCACAAGACATTTGATTGTTTTTGGTTTTTTGAGACAGTGTCCCTATGGATTGCAGGCTGTCCTTGAACTCTTAGCAATCCTCCTACCTTAGCCTCCCAGTGCTGGGATTATAAGTGTAGGATGCAATGTCCATTACATTTATTTTGATTACTGTTCTGCCTCCTTGTTGTAGAATGTTATCCCAAGAAGAATTTTTATTGTTCACAGTTGTCAGGAATGGTACAGTATGTAATAGGCTATAAAAAAACATTTTAGGCAATCAAAAAGTATTTAAAGTGGGCTGGGGATTTAGCTTAGTGGCACTGCACCTGCCTCTTAAGTGCAAGGTCCTGAGTTCGATCCCTGGTTCCACACACACACACACACAAAGTAAGGTAATGAAACAAAGATTCACATATATGTAGAACACACTGTGAAGACTGCTTTAAATGTAGATGATTTTGAGTCAGGAAAAGGAAGAGGGAAGCAAATACTATAAACAAGACGGAGGCTTGACTATATATAATATCACTTGACAGAAGATAAAATTCTCTTAGATGACTGCTATGACTAACTGGGACTTAATTCTATCAGACTATAAGAAAAGGAAAGCATCATGGGAATGAGTACAGTAATATAATTTAAAACAAACTAAAATAATGAGCAGAATTAGCTGCACAGGGAAATTAAAGCAAAGCAGGCATGAAGCCCAATCCCAATGAGTTGGTTTGGGGTGTAAACCAAAAATAAGAATTTTTAAAAAATCAACAGAAAGAGCCAAGACTTTAAGGATCGGAGGAGGCAGGGAAGTTTCAAGTTACTTCTGTAGTGGCCAGGACAGATTCAAGAAGATGCCAAGGAAAAGAGTAATTATATAGTACAAACATGTAAGTTAGGAAGCATTAAGATACACATATTCCTGAAAATCTAAACAAAGAAAATGAGCTTAAGAAATTGGAATGATAAAAATTTATGGGATTGAGAATAAAACAAAACATGAAAAATAATCCTTTACAGATCTCATAGTGGGTGATAGATAAAACTCCTATAAATAGCAAAACCTACAAAATGTTATAATGTAGAATGGCTTCTGCTGTCTCTGACAGCAGTTGTTTAGTTCAGAATCAACAAACACTGAAGCATTAACCACTGAATGAGGCATCTGGTCTCATCCTGAGATAACAGGGCACATCAAGACCCTGAGCTCTGAAGTTCTATAAACCACATGATGGTAAAAGTGTCAAGATGAAGGGCCGGGGATTTAGCTCAGTGGTTCTGCTGGCTGCCTCACAAGCACAAGGACCAGAGTTCGATCCCCGGTACCAAAAAAAAAAAAAAAAAAAAAAAAAAAAAAAAAAAAAAAAGAAAAAAAGAATCTTTTTTAATTTTTTCTTTCCTGACCCTGAACACCCCCTTCCTATGGGCTAGGATAGATAGCTAGGCAAATCTTGAAGGTAAACTCCCCTAACTACAAAGAATTGCTACATCTGGGTTGAAAGTTAACTGTCTTGTGACCATGATTAGTATATTGGTAATGTGAACTGAGAAAATGAAATGTAACCACCTGAATGAGATCAAGGCTGTAAAACCCTATAAAAGAGGGAGCTGCAAGACAGTAGGGGGTCGATCTCTAGTAATGCTTTTGGGTGCGATTGGCCTTTTGCTAGCAAAATAAACTTTTGTTATTTTACTTCCATTCTGCATATCTCTGCATGTCATTTACCAATTCCTTCCTTAACGTGGGAACAGAAAAGCTTAGGAAACAGAAATACAGAAAGAAACAGCCCAGATTACCACGGGGGCACAGAATCAAAGATAGAGATAAATGTTAGAAAGGGAAAGCAACACTGTGCAAGGGGGTAGGAAAATACAATAAGAAGACAGTGTGAAAATTGAAGATCTCATGGAAGAAAGGCATGGAAAGTAGAATATCCTAGCAGGACAAGAAAAAGACAGAAAAGAACACTACTACAGAAAGAATGGCAAGATTTGAAAACCCCAAAAAGAAGAAACCTAGAGAAAAAAGTCAAGACCTAGAAGAAATAGTGACCAACTCCAAGAAGAGGTATATATTCTTACAAATAGCTTGAAAGAAACAGAGTTCTTATGTGGGTACAAAGAGATGTGCAGGCTCCATTTAGGTATCCTCAGACACTCTCATAGCAGTGACACCTCTGACAAATAGAATATGACTCTGGGCCACCATCTTTGCAGGTTTACTTACTCACCTGGATAGATATGACTATGGATTGCATCCTCCACTGACCATGGTTCTTCATGTAGCAACTTGGAAAGGGCATCTGGGTTGCTGGCTTCATACCCTGTTTGTGGGAAATGACAGACATTTTAGGCTCATCAAACTGGACTGTCATTTGTCATCACAGGTGAATGTTCTATTTTAGGAACTACACAGTTTATGCCTGAAAAGCAAAGCTTCTTCTCTTAGAAGAGGCCACATTATATTCTCTTATCTTGGGCCAGAAAGGGACTGAGAGTCTACCACAGGCCTTCCAGAGCTTCTAGGAGCCAAGAAAGGAAAGACCACTGGAGGGCACCTTCTGAGTGACATGGGGCAGCTGTCCTCACCCACTGACACCAGGCTGCTGTAGTTCTCCAGCATCACGTCCTGGTACAGGTTCTTTTGATCAGGGCCCAGGAGCTGCCACTCCTCCCAGGTGAACCTCACAGCCACATCCTCTAATGTCAGCGACTCCTGAAACAACAGAGTACCTTGTAATTTCCTTGTAATGATACAGAAAACAAAGTTTTCCTGCTTATTTTCTGTACCTATGCACCTGTTGTTTAATGCACTGTGGAGGTAAAACCCTACAAAAATATTCTGTAATTGTCATTCATTCACCAATCATTCATCTAAATAGAAATTTCTATTATGTGTAGAACTTACTGGTAGTAAGTATATAGCTCAGGAACAGCCAAACAGAAGAGATGCACAAGGCACAGTTTAGGGCTGTGGAGACTGTATGAACTGCCATGCCCTCTGGGTATACCATGCTCCCAGCACCTCAATGTGGACACCAACCCCATCATTTTGAGGACTTCATGCAGGTCTCATTATATGGGCATGACTGATTTTATCACTGGTCCTTGGGGAATGACCTCACTAATCTTGGCGGAAGTTGGGGACAAGGTCAAAGTTCCAAATTTTTAAATAAGACTTGGTTTTTCAGGTAACCAGTCACATCCAACCTGAAGCTATCTAAAGAACCAGAAAAAGTCATTTTACTAGAACAAAAGAGGCTCCTATCAACTGTATCAGTGATATAAAAATATTCCAAGGCTTTCAGGAGCTCCATTCCAGAAACTAGGGATAAAGACCTAATATCTAAGACCGGAAAAATATACACCTGCTTCTACTTTGCCTTGAGGCCAAAATTAAGGCTGTAAGTGTATTTTGGCACAAATCCTGATTTACAACATTTATATTTTTTCATTCAATTCAACTGATTGAAAGTTTTTCAGAAATTGATTGTAGAATGAAGAGAAAAATAACCTGAAAGTTACCTGAGTCTTAATCATTTTCTGTTATTGGGAAATGGCCAGTAATCAGGAGGCTGTGTTTTTAGTCTTCTTCATGAACAGCCCAAAATTAAAAATCTTAGTCTCCAATCAATGGTGTCTCCACAATGGTGATACCCAGGTCCTGCAGAGTCCTCCCACTTTACCTGGTATGTCTTGCTCCTGGAACCAGGCCCTGTGGGCTGAGGAGAAACTCACTCTGAGTACACATTATCTCTGGGTCCAGACACCAGCATGGCTGCATGCACTCCCCTTAGCTCAAGTCCATCTCTAACCTTTAGCTGGGGCCCCAGAATATTTTTACTTGAAGGCAATAAAATACTTTAAATGTATGGATAGCATGTCTTTCTTCTGTGAGGTGGCAGTGAGTTGACTATGAATGGATAAGTGGAGAAGGGAGAACCAGTAAAGTACCAAGGGCCTTCTCAGCCAGATCTGTTTTTACAAAAAAAAAAAAAAAAGATATAGAGAAGGTAAAGACCTGGACATTCGTTCCTTTACTGCCACGTGGGCCTGTGTACCTGTTCAAAAGACTTTGTTCTCTTTGCTCTGCCTTGAGGGGATTTAATTCACACAGCATCACACAGAGAACGGCCATGGTCAGAGACATGCAAGCGCAACTTCTAGAATCCACTGCTACCAGTGACACAGGAACCACCTTCTTCCTCCAGGACAAATGTACAAAGCTGCATGAATCCCACCCGTCCTAAAAGCAGCAGAGCAGAGTGAGCAGACCCAGAAGCTTTCTGTGTGCTAAGTCCTAGAGCAGTAGCAAGAACTCACACCATGGGAGCACCAATTTGATGGAGTCATCTTGAACTTTCCTTCTGTCCTACCTGGGTAGAAATATGATAGGCTCCCTGTGCTTCTCCTGCACCCTCCGAACTTACAGGGTCTGCTCTGACACATCATGCAATCACTGATTGCCTGTGCCCTCTTCCCTCCATCACGCTAGGCAGGGGCACCTCACGGAAGCGGTAGACCTTCCAGACCAGGCCACCCATAGAAAGGTACAGAGCCCAAATGATGTAACACCCCCGAGGAAGAGACCATGGACGTAACGTTTCAGAGGCATCATGTGCGCCTCACATGGCAAACCCACATTCCCCATGAGCCACCACAGCCCTTCATCCAAAAATACGTGAACAGATCCTACCTCATTCTTGACCCATAAGAACTTTGAGTGGAACAAAACCATTTCTGTTGCCTCTCAGGCTGTGCTCTTTCATTGGGCTTGGGAGTGCTATTCCTAAAAACACATGTATCCACAAATTCTATATCATTAGCAAACAGGCCATCTTCAGAAATCTTCATTATAAAAAAGAAACAATTATATTATTTGTGGATACATACACATTTAGTAAAATGCACATTATATGAAACAGGTTCAAAAGAGAAGTTATCCCTGGGGAAGGAAAATGGGAAATGGACTATAGGATATTACCAAGCTGTACTTGCATCAGGTTCTTTTGTTGTTGTTGTTGTTGTTGTTGTTTTGTTTGTTTTTAAAACGGGATCTTGCTATATAGTTCAAGCTGGTCTTGAATGCACTATGAATTCCAGGTTGGCCTCAAACTCATGATGATCCTCCTATCTTAGCCTTGAGGGCTGGGATTACAGGTGTGTTTTGTGGGGAAGGGTTGAGACAGGGCCTGTGCAGTTCAGACAGGCCTTGAGCTTGCTAGGTAGCCCAAACTGGCATCAAATTTATGGTGATCCTCCTGCCTAAGCCTCCTAAGTACCAGGATTGCAGGTGTGTGCCACACCTGGCAGGTTCTTTCTTTTAAAACTGTACCAACAACTAAACACAAAGTACATCACGGAGAAAAATCCCACTAAGCAAAGATGGTAACAAGCTCCAAAAGTTCATTCTTCTACAGAAACTTTAAAAATCAAGCAAAAACAGAATCAAAAGCTGTCAGAAGTCAAGTGGAAGAATCAGAAGTTTGAGGCTACAATGGTGAGACCCTGTCTAAAGTAATGGAGGGAAGAGGGGGAAAGACAGGCAAAGCTCTGTCCTGTGTTTATTTGCCCTTACTCCATTGCCTCCTAACTTTGGTTATGGTCTTGAAGACTGCAGCCAACATTCCCAAACTGGGACTTTTCATGAGAATTGTGTTTGTCTTTTTTAAACTGTCCAGGAGTTACCTGAAGAATATATATCATACACTCATTCCTTTTCTGCCTACTTTGAAACTCCCTCATTGTGGGAAAGTGGTAGGCATTTCTGAAAAGTACTGTAAGGCAGGGTCTGCTCTGACACACCTGCAGCTTCCTGGGCCGAAGGATCAGAGCAGAGGCATAGGCAAAAGATTTTGAGGAAAATCTGTGCAGAGAGTTTCTCAGGGGAAAGTAGGCCATTGAAAAGCACCCACGTGCTGGGCAGGTTGGAGCCTCCACCAGGTGGAGCTACTGTGGAGGCTGAGGCCACTTAGTAAGAGCCTGTCTCAAAATAAAACCCAAAAGGGCTGTAGGTGTAGCTCAATGGTACGATATTTGCCTAACATGCTTGAGACCTTGGATTCACTTCCCAGTGTGGGAAACAAACACTTTTCAAGTATAAAAACAACATACTGTAAAATGGATGAGCCTTAAAATCAGGCTGTAAGGAATAAAGCCACCCACAAAAGACCACATATTATGATGACCGTTACACTAAATGTCTAGAATAGGCAAATCTGGAGAGGCAGAAAGTAGGTTTATGGTTTATGCCTGTAGATGGGGGAAGGGAGGAACAGACTGTAGTAAAAGAGTATGAAGCTTTTGAACTGATGAAAATATTCTATAATTAGGGCTGGGGATGTAGCTCAGTGGCACAGGACTTATCTAGCATGTTCAAGTACTTGGGTTAATTCCCAGTACCACACACACATACTCAAAGTTATATTTTGACTTTGGTGATGTTTGCACATATTAAACACCACCAAATCACACATTTCATTTATGTATTTATTTGAGATGAGATTTTGCTGTATTATGTAAGTAGTGGTTACCCTCTTGCTTCAACCACCCAAACAGTTGGGATTACAGGGGCTCACCACTTAGCTCAACCGAACTATACACTTTACATGGGTGAATTACATGGTTCGTGAATAATAAAGCTATTATTAGAAAAAGCTACCAGTAGAACTTAATTAGTATATAACCTACTGAAATATTTAATGGCAAATGTACGGATATCTACAACTTCCTTAGAAGTGGACCAAAAATGAAAACAATTTTTTTAAAAGCTGTATTAATAATAAGAGTGATATACAGACACAATAAAAATGATAAAATATAGGCAGTAGACAAACATATTCAGCTGTAAAATTCTTCAAACCTTGTTATGTATTTAAATTTTTGTATGTTGGAAGATGAGAAAGCTTGTACTACAAACAACTCAGTAATGCAACTAGAAATAAAAATTTTAAACTACTCTTCTACATAATAGTAAATAGAACAAAAAGGCCTAAGACAAAAAAAGATACCCTTTACAGCTGCAACAATGAGAAAAAGAAAGACTAGCCGTAGAAAGCAATACCCTTGCTGAAACGCAGAAGCATAACCTGTTCTTGAAAGTGCTCAGCTGGATTTGGTGGCCCACACCTATAATCCCAGCACTTGGGAGGCTGAGGCAGGAGGATCACAGAGTTCAAGGCCAGACTGAACTACATAGCAAAGCTATCTCAAAAGACAAAACAAAAAGTGATGATTTGAAAAGTGAACATTTTAACATTTAAGCTAAATTTAAATATATGCATATATTTAGTGACTCCATCCTTATGACACAGGCTTGCCTTTTGATGGTTTACTATCACAGAAATCTCCAAAAAATGTTTTAAAACAAGTTATATGTTCATTATATGAATGTTCTTAATATGAAATCAAATAAAGAAAAATTAGACCAATGTTTCAGAAGTTTGAATTGCAAAAATCAAGCATCGAAAAACAGACTGAAATTTAAATAACACAAAAAGGTTATCAAATTTATTTGAGAATTAGATGTTCCTTACCATTTCAGATTTCATTCCGTCTTGACCTCTTCCACAGCTTTCCTATTGAAGCGGGGGAGGAGGAAGAAATGTAAGAAGCCAAAGAGAACTTGTACAGATGTTCTGGCTTGTGTCTAGATGTCCCCTCAACGCCTCTTGAAGTCACAAGTGGGGCTTTTTCAGAGGTGGCTGGATCTAGAGTGCGTGAGGGATTAATGGCGCGAGGCCAGGATCTGGGGTGAGTGATTACTAGATCAGTCCACTCATTGGTTTGTTATCGCCCTGATGCAACATAAAGAACAGAAAGAGGCTTCTCCTGCCTTTCTTGCTTGCTTTCCTACCTTCTGCCTGCCACAAACTGTTTCTTCTCGGTGATGCCCCTCTGCCGTGCCACCCTGCCTCGGCGCCAGCTGATCATGGTCTGAAACTTCTACAGACTGAGCTAAATAAACCTTTCCTCCTTTGACTTTGGGTGTCGGGAATTTTGTCTCAACAACGAGAGTAAGACGGGGACTGTAACGTCTGAGCTTCAAAACACTCACCGACCAGGGTCCCCCGTGCCTCCAGAGCGACACTTGCGAACTCTGGCCAAACTCCTCTGCGCCGATCCCGAATCCCGGGCCCCACCTTGGGCTCACTGACCACAGCCCCCAGGCCCCTGACTCTGAGCTGCACGTTAAATCCCGAATCCGAACCAGACACCGTCCACTGACAAAACCGCTCCAGCTCATTCTCCCCATAGGGACCCGCAGATCCGAAACTCCGATACCCGTCACCGCCGGCCGCAGGGATCCTTCCGGGCTGACTCCCTTTTGCTTCCCTTTCAGTGACTCTTACCTGCATCGACACGCGCAGACACCCCGCCTCTCATCCTGTTCCACACAGAGAGCGACACACAGACCCGATTTTCTCCATATCCCAAGGACCTCCCAGAAGCTGCACTTCGAAGTCTTAGTGTTCTCGGGCCACTCCCAGGATTCGCGTTCCGCCTACGGGGGCCGATGAGGACTGGAGGCGATTATTGCAGAGCGCAAACTCCTGGACTTCCGGCTTTTCCTTTTAGGGAAGTAATATGTCCGCGCCCTCAGTGTCCTGGGAGGTGGGGGCGGCCATCTTTCAACACTGGGGGACGTACAGGAGGCAAAGTGGCCTATGTTTTGTCTAACCATCCTGGGAAGGCTAATGGCAGCGAAAGGCTACTTGAGCCACCCCATTTTTTTTATTTTATTTTATTTTTTTTTAATTGAGTTTATTGGTACATTTAGGGATACAGTACAGTTACATTCATTGTTGGGATCATGTACCTTTACATGGCAAGTCTTGATTCTCATTTTTTTCCCCTTACCTCTGCCCTCCCTTCACCCCCTCCTCCCCTCCCCATCTACAAACACTTTATTTTCATCTTTTCATTCTCTCACATTTTTTTCTTTTCCCTTTTTGTTCTTCCCCTACGTATCACACCTTCCCTACACCTTTAGCTCCTTTCCTCCCATTTCTAAATGTCAGTAATCTTATTAGAATCTTATGCATTGTTGCAGAATATTCACACCAGGGAAACTATTTGGTATTTACACATGTGGGACTTATTTATTTCACTTAGGAGTATATCTTCAATATGTATCCATTTTCCTATGAATGAATCTATTCTCTCGCTCTTTATGGCTGAGTAATATTCCATTTTATAGAAAAACCACAACTTCTTTATCCAGTTTCCAACGGATGGGCAAATAGGTTGTTTCCAAGATTTAGCTATTACAAACTGTGCCGCTATAAACATGGGTGCACATACTTCTCTGTGATATGATTCTTTTAGTTCTCTTGGAAAGATACCCAACAGAGGGATGGCTGGGTCAAATGGAACCTCCAGTCCAAGCTCTTTGAGGTATCTCCATATTGATTTCCATAGTGGTTGCACTAGTCTGCACTCCCACCAACAATGGAGGAGGGTTCCTTTCTCCCCACAACCCCGCCAACATTTGTTATTGTGTGATTTCTTGATAGCAGCCATTCTTTGTGGGGTGAGGTGGAATCTCAGTGTTGTTTTCATCTGCATCTCTCGAATGACCAGTGATGTGGAACATTTTTTCATATATTTTCTTGCTGCTTTCACTTCTTTGTATGAGAAATGTCTGTTCATTTCGGATGCCCATTTTTGGATCGGGTCTTTATATTTGGGGGGACTGATTGTTTTGAGTTCTTTATATATCCTTGATAATAGTCCTTTGTCTGAGGTACAGCTGGTAAAAATTTTTTCCCACATTGTAGATTGTCTCTTAGTTCTGCTAATGGTTTCTTTTGAAGTACAGAAGCTTTTTAGTAAGATGAGATCCCAGTTGTTGATTCTTTCTGCTAGTTCCCGTGCTACTGAGGATTTGTTCATAAAGTCTTTTCCTATACCAATGTCTTCCAGAGTTCTGCCTAACTTACTTTCCAGCAAGTTTAATGTTTCTGTTTTAATATTTAGATCTTTAATCCATTTGGATTTTAATTTAGTGCATGGCGAAAGATAAGGGTCTAATTTTAATCTGTGGCAGGTTGATATCCAGTTTTTCCAACACCATTTATTAAAGAGGCTATCTTTCCTCCACTGAGGATGGTGAGCTCCTTTGTTGAAGATGAGGTAGCTGAGTACATCTGCATTTGTTTTTGTGTCTTCCAGTCTGTTCCATTGATCCTCAGGCCTATTTCTTTGCCAGTACCATGCTGTTTTTATCACAGGAGCCACCCCATTTTTTGATGCCTTAAGTCTTGTGCCTCAGATTATATATGGACTTTCATAGGCTCTATTCTAGTAAACAAGAAGTGGGCTATGTCCATTCCAGCAAAGGCAGACTTTGAAACAATACAATAGGCGCAGCCATCTTCGAAGTTAAGAAGTTAAATGTCCGTACAAATGAAACGCTTCTTCGGTAAAGGGTAAAAGGAGCAAAAATATGGCAGGAATGGTTCAAACTGCGCGTTGAAGGCAAGAGGAAGAATTTAAAGACAAAAAAAGGTCTGGAAAAGCAACTGCGATAGATAGCAGTCACACCATCAAAAGGAAGTGAAGGAGTCAGAGGAACCTCCTTTACCTTCCTGGGAAAACCTGGTTATTGTTCAGGAAAGAGAGGAGCAAGAAGCCAACTGAAGAGGGATTCCAATGAGGGAGGCCATCCATCCATCTTTTCTTTCAGGAAACACTGTAAAGGGCTTCCCTTCTTTCGTGGGATGGGTGAAACCAATATTAAGTGAGGAGCTTTCTGAAGATCAAAGGCCAGAAATTCTGGAAGTTAAATAAGATTAACTCTGAGAAGAATGGATGTACAAGAAAGGACTAGTAATCATAATATACTACATGCTGAACTAAAAGTAGTGTTTAGTCATTAGAATGAAAATTAAAGATCTGTTCTTACCATAATTAATATATACCTCTACTTGAAGAATGAGGTGAAAGAACTTCCTGTACACTGTGTTTAGAAGAGGGGCTTTTTGAAGTCTTCATGATAAGCCTGTAGACAACTGCCCCCAAGTGAAAAATCTGTGTCAGCACTACATCCATTTAACTTAAAACAAGGAACTGTGAGGAAAGTTTTGCAAATAAAAAGCCTCAACAAATATTTGACTCGTTGGGAGAATTGCAAAGAATAACCCTTACAGGCACAGGAAATCCACTCCTACATATTTACTCAGAAATAATAAAACAATAGGTCCTCACAAAAATGTTTATATGACATTTATTCACAATAGCCCCAAACAGGAAACAATCCGGTCTTCCTCTTGGTCTCAATACTCAGCTAAAAGTGTGTTCGCGCCATTTTCAGTCATTGGTCTGTGTGGCTAGATGAGTGGATAAACAAACTCTGGTACAATCATACCACATAATCCTACTCAGCAATAATTTCAAAAGCGAACTATAGGCGCACATAGCAAGACGCCAGACAGAACAAAAGCAACACTAAGTTATCATATTTCTGTGGATTAACAAGTGTTGGCGAGTAAATGGAAGAACTGGCACCCAGGTCCACCACTGGTGGAACTGTAAGTGGAGCCATTTTGGAAACCAATCTGTCAGTTCCTCATACGGTTAAATAATATGTATTGACCACATGACCCAATGGTATGACTCCTAGAGGAGCATTTGTAGCAGCATTATTACCAATAGATCAAAACAGTACAGTCCATCAGCTGGTGAAGGGAAAAATAAGATGTGCTGTAGCCATACAATGCAATATTATTCCAGTATAAAAAGGAACAAAATACCAAAATGCCAGGGACAAACCCTGGAGACTTTCTAATTGGAAGAAGTCAATCACAAAAGACTGAATATTATATGGTTACGTTTACATGAACGTCCAGAATAGGCAAAATCAAAAGGAAGGTATGGGAGAATAGAAGTAAAATTATCAGGCGTAAATGACCACAGTGTGATTAAGAAAAGGATAATGTAGCTAACCTAGGAGAAAAACTGAAGTAAATGCAAAATAAGAAAAAAGGCTAAAGGCTGGGGATTTAGCTCAGTGGTTCTACCTCCTGCCTTGCAAGCATAAGGACCTGAGTTTTCAATCCCCAGTATCAAAGACAGAAGCAAGGCTAAAGATTTTTATTCACCTTTAATTTTGACAAAGGTGAAGTGGTGAAGTTGTGAAGAAATACGAATTCTGACAGCCTTGCTCTTTATTATATGCCAAGTGAGGGGAGTATTTAGGCCCGCCATCTACAGCTTTTGGAATGTTATATAAGATAATACAACTGTTACGCTTGAAATGTATTCCTATTTTGAAATGTGTGTAATGCTAATCAACATTAGCTATTAGTTTTCAGCAGGAGTTTTTCATTGGCGTATAGGAAGCAGTGAATAATGTATTTATTAATGAAACATTTTCGGATAACCATCTTGGATTATCTACTGAGTTAGACATTTTTCTTCTCTTTGCTCAGAAATTCCAATTCTCATAATTTATTCAGTAAGAATTAGATGTGAGATATGTGACTTGCGATAAAGCCTGCACAGAAATTTCTACCAACACTGTATGTTCACTTCCCCCTGGCCAGTGGCAATGCCTTCACACTTGTCAGATCTTCTCCTAAAACTAACTTTGCTTACTGTGTGCCTCACTGTGCTCTTCCAACCTATGCTGTACCATTCTCCAGAAACATTCCCGAGCTCATTTGACTTGCTCTCCACCTCTTAAAGACCTATATTCTTTGTTTGTTTGTATGTTTGAGAGAGTCGGACTTTACTTCAGGCTGAACTTGAACTTGCTATGTATTCCAGACTGGCCTCAAATTCCCAGTGATCCTCCTCCCTCAGCCCCGGAAGTGCTGGGATTACAGGCCTGTGCCACCTCGCCTGCCCATACTCCTTTTGTGTGTGGAGATGATCTCCTTCTTTGTGATGGCTGCACCTTCTGTAATGGTGCTCATTCAAATGTACAAGTGACCACGTTGGACTTGATGTCTTGGTTACTTTTTCGTTGCTGAGACAACAAACTCAACACCCAAAGTTAAAAAAGGAAAGGGTTATTGTAGGTCACAGTTTGTGGAGGGTTCAGTTCAGAGTTGGCTGGCTCCAAGGCAGGGTGACGCGGCAGGGGGGCACCACAGAGCAAGCGGGCAGAAGACAGCAAACAGAAAGTGATGAGCAAGTGCCTCCGTCTCTTTTCATCCACAGCCGCAGCTGTCTTCGCGTACACACACGGGCTTCATAAATTTTCTCTTCCACATTTTCCGTGTCTCCCACATGTCTTGTAATTTCTTCTGTTTTTTCTCCTTCCACTTACTAATGTCTGAGACTTTAGTTCTGTAGTCATTCTCACTTCCTCTTATCTCCTCTGCCTTTGGTATCAGATTCTCCTCCTCCTAGTAAATTACTCAATGGATTCATTGCTTTTCTTTACTAGAAAAAGGGGAGGCAAGAACAGCACCAAGAAAAACAGGTTGGCCTTGAAAGTATGGAGTCACCATAAATACAATGCTATCAGGGGCTCTTCAGACCCCTGAATACCTGTAGGGAGAGCAACAGGGAATGAGAGAGAGAGAGAGACAGACAGACAGACAGACAGACAATACTCTGTGTGCAGTGGGGGACTGGGAAGATTGACAATGTTGCGCTCCATCTCAACAATGTATGCTGCTCCCCAAATTCTTTCACTAGGTTTTTGGAACTAGCAGATGTTTTCCCAGCTGCTATTGAGTGTCGCTACTGAAGGCTCAGGGAGCTTTCCCCAGGACTGGTCCTTTCCTTCTGCCTGGCATCTGTCATGACTTATGTCAGAGATCACTTTCTATCAAGGATTTTGGTTCAATGTATTTCATAGACCACAATGCAATATATTATGCTTTGTGTTTTCCAAACAGGCCTGAATCAAAAGGACAACGTACAGAGGCATATATATATGTGTATGTATGTGTGAAATATATATATTTATCTTGACTGTCCCCTAGACCTCCGAAGTCTAGCCTCACTGGCTGGGATGCAGGGACTTGCCATTAGCCCTCCTAGTCCAAGCCACTTGACCTACCATTTTCCCTTTCTCAAGCCATGTTCTTTGTTGTAGGGACACCTGCAATCCCTCTAAGATGGTCATGCTCTTTGATCCAAGTCCAGGAATTTCTTGGTAGTGATACCATAAATTTGCGATCCTAAACTCAGTTCTTCTCCTCTCTTGGAATTGTGGACCCAGCCAGTGGTGGTAGCACATGCCTGTGATCCCAGCACTGTAGAAAGCTGATGCAGGAGGATTGCAAGTTTGACCCCAGCCTGGGCAACTTGCAGACTTAACAAGACCCTGTCTCAAATTTTTAAAATGTAAACAAACAAGAGTAAATGACCTTGAAGCAGAGGTTTACTTATAATATTGCAATGGCTAGGACAGAGCTGCTGAAGAGCAAGCTTACGGTAGGGAGAAGCTTGAAATGGCCTTTGCTCTGCTTACTCTTAGGGGCAAACTGGTCTGGGGCCAGTTAAGGACGATGGGATCTTCATTGATTGGTGTGCTCCAGGTCAATCAAGGTCTTCCCCTTTGTTGCTGGGATGAGCTGTCACTAGGGTGAGCTGTTGCTAGGGTGAGCTAAGGTTCATGGGGTCTAGAGCTTTCCAGTGAATGCATGCAAGCAGGGCTCTAAGAATAACTGTTCCACACCAGCAAAGGTTTCACAAAGGGCAATTGCCAGTAAGTAAGTGGTCATTTTTATAACTGTCTGCCACATCAGGCGAGCCGTGTTAGCCCTACGTCTCTGGCTATCTCCTCTTCTCACTGTCTCTACAGCGTGGCCCTTCCCTTCCCTGCCTGTCCCCTCTGTGGACCTCCGATTGCCAGAACACTTCCCACACTTCTCCCTTCGTGGGCCAGCTGAGAAATCGTCTCACCCTCCTACAGTGAGGGTTCTCAAAGGTTATTCTTGGGAGCCTCTTGGTAGGTTAGGAAAGTGACACCCAAACCTTAGAAAACGGGCGCTTACCCAAACTCGCCCGGCAGGGAGGGCTCCCGGTTCATTCTCTACAAGTTTCCGCTAATTCCTCGCTTCACTTACTGTACGGAAAATATTCCAAGATGGCCTCCTCCAAAGAGGCGCCCGATGGGCGTGGACATATTTCTCTCTAAGGAGCCCACGAAATCCAACAGTCGGAGTCCTTACGCCCTCGTCGGCCGCCGTAGATTTCCTGGGTTTAAAGACCAGAAACCGGAAGCGTTCACCGGATTCGCCTTAGCCACCTGTAGGACTTGTTGGGTTCACCTGCGAAGTGAGTGTGTGGCTCTCTTCGTGGAGTACGTTAACAGGCGGAGAAATTTGTGTAGAGCGGAACTGGAAGGGGGGTGCAGGACGTGTGCCTGAAGTTGGGGCGTCCTGTGGTCCATCGTGGGAGGTCAGAGGTCAGATTTGTGGGTCACTCAGGAAGGCGCAGCGGTCGAGAATTGTGGAGTATTTGTCAATGAAAAAGTAATTAGGGTTCCACGCAGGCCTCCACGAGAACCCTGGGGGTGGTGGTCCGCGTGGTGGAGGTTTGGGGTGCCGAGAGCGTGCGCTTTCAGCGTCCGAGGATCCCCAGGCGGGGGCGGGTGGGTCGGAGACCGCGCGCGCGGAGCCCGCGATCTTTCTGGCGCGGCTCGAGCTGCCGGACCTGGCGCCGGGCTGGGTCTGCGGGTTCCCCAGGCGGAAATAAGGAGCCTTTCTCACCCGTTTGTAGAATAAGTTTGCAGGCTTGCAGACCCCCGTCGTGGAAAAATAATTTTTAGGACGCGTCAGTGGAGGTAAGAGAGGGGTTTATTAGGACGGAGATTTAGGTCGCACCCAGAAGCGGAGTGCGGGCGCTCGGAGAAATGAGGCGCATTACAAGTTAGAACTGGGACCATTTGTGGCTTGGCACCCCCCCCCCCGTCATTAAGCCCATTCAACAGGTATGGGTAATTTTTTAAAAATGAGATAATTTTGGGGGTTTGCTCAACCTACTCCTCTATCGCCTGCCCCTTGCTTTCTCAATTAAGTCAGTTTGTAGATGAGGAAATTTGGATGTGATGGGTCTGGTAGGTAAGGAGTCTTAAATTTGACCAAAGGAGTGTTGATATATATTGCTTTGGGTAACTTTTCTAGAAATTGCAGTCTTAAAAGTGCAATTTTTAAAAAAGTTATGATTTACTTGCCTCCTTTCTGTCTTTTATTTCTTCTGTCCTACTTCAGGCCAGCCTTATGAATGGTGTGTTCCTCCATTCAGTTCTTATATATACATATATTTTTGGTACGGGGGATCGAACTTGGTACCTTGCCTCTGTGAGGCAGGCGGTGGAACCACCTCCCTTCAGTTCTTAAAGCCCAAAGATGGGAAGTTTAGGGAGATCCAGGATTAAGTCAGTCTGAAGCAGTGAGATTTCTGTAATTATTCCATTGGTTATAAATTAAAAGAATAAAGAGTCCTGGGGTGAAGGTCTTCAACTGATTGTTTAGGTTCTTGGCCTCCAAATAGTAAGTTGATGGATCTCTTTTCTTCTGTTCAATAATTCATCGTACTTTCTGTTCTCAAATGTTTTGAGAAGTGGTGAAAAATAATTGTACCACCAGTACCTTCTCTCGCTCAGCTTAATGAGAGTGTGTTTATCACTCACTTTCAGACTTTAATCTCATTCATGAGGAGCCTTCATGGCAATCTTCTGAGGCCCTCTTCACACTATTGCACCGGAGTTATGTTTGACCTTGAATTCTGAAGGAATACAAACTTTCAAACCACACCAGTTGGCAGTTGGGAATTTAGATTTTTGGGGATGTTCCCGACCTTGTCTGATAAGAGTGGCTCACTGTGTTCCATTGTTCTTTGAAACAGTGTGCTTTATCCTGAACACCTTTCTCCCAAGATTCTGGCGTTTTGGTGTGTTATGAGAGTGACTACATCACCAGCCCCTGTTAAAGAACCTGGGCCACTGTGTCTCTTAAGAAGGTTCCAGGGCCGGGGATTTAGCTCAGTAGTTCCACTGCCTGCTTTGTGCAAGCAGAAGGTCCTGAGTTCAATTCCCAGTACCAAAAAAAAAGGTGCCATGATTTTCATCATTTCCTAATTGTTGTCACAATTTGTTTGTGGGGAATTAAGCATATCCTGTGTGACTTCAAGGAAATAGGACACTTGAATAAGTGTCTGGTGTTTTGCAGGCTTTGCCATGTGTACTTTTCCCCTTTGCTCATTTTGCTTTGTATCTGTTCACATAATACATCATAGCCAGGAAAAGTGATATATGTTGAGACTTCTGAGGCCTCCTAACGAATCACTGCACCTAGAAGTGGCCTTGGAGGTCCTGGAAAAACCTGCCTAACAGTTACCTTTCTCCTCTTCTAGTACATTCTTTGGTGTTCCTTGCCTTGTGGCTCTGCTTCTGTCTTCACCTGGTGTTCTCTTTTTCTCCCGAAGAGGTGTTTCTCCCTGGTATGTCTCTTACAAGGACATAGGGCACATAGTGGGATAAACTAATCTTGAGATCCTTAACTCAGTTATATCTGCAAAGGTGTATTTCCAAATAAGATCACATTCAGAGGTTTGTGGGAGTTAGGACATGGAGTTATCTTTTGGGCAGCTACCATTCAACCCACGTTATGCCATACAAATGGGTATGTAAGCACATATGATTTAAAGGAAAGTCCAGATCTTCATCTTTTCTTGGATTCCCAAATTGACGTGTCTGAGAAGTCCTTCCCCTACCCCACTTTATTTCCTGGTGGTACTAGGGATTAAACCCGGAACTTTCACCCTGAACCATATTTCCAGTCCTTTTTTTTTTGTTTTTTGTTTTGAGACAGGCTCAGACTTGCTATACTCCTGCCTCGGCCTCCTAGAGCTAGGATTATAGGCATAGACCATTGTGCCCAACTGAAGTTCTGCATTTGAGGCTTCCCACCATATGGCTTCTCGTTTCACTTTCACTTTCTTTTTGACACTACTTCTGGTTCCCAAAAGAAAAGCACATGTCCCCCACATTCAGTGTGTCATGTTTTATTGCCCCAAGACATAAAGATTTTAGGGCACTAAATACAGGGAACAGTTAGAAATACTGACCTTGACTTAAGTTGTGTTAGCAGTAGCAGCAGTACCTGGGCTGTAGGGAATGTGTCACCAACTGAACTTGCTCTTTATCCCACAGATCCTGCTACCTGAGCAAGAACATTCAAGTGACATTTCCTGGATGTATATATCATCATTTCTTGGGATACCCTTGACCAAAGACTCAGATTTCTAAATAAAAATTTAAGGCACAACCAGAAGATACTAAAGACAGAGCATCTCAGTTATTGGATGTTCCTGAAGTAGAGGAAAATGACAAATGCCCAGGTGATTTTTGGTTTCTTGTATTCTCAACTTGATTTCTTGATGGGTTTGTGAAGGCCCAAAGAAATCATTTCATTTAAATGAAAAGTATAAATCAGAGAAAATGGGCTCTGACTAGAAATAAACATAGGCCTTATCTTTAAAAATCAGGACAGAGTGGAATGAGCAAATAGTAGAGCTCATTTGGGCTGGGCAAATAGTAAAGCACTTGCTTAACGAGCATGAGGCCCTGGGTTCCATCCCTAGAGCCACACACACTCAAAGAAATATATTTTCCATAGAGTTCATACTGCATGATTTCTTCATGTTGAAATATAACATGTGACTGAAGAACCTTGTTAGTTATATTAACTGTCAGCTTGCATCTGGTGTCTCTAACATCCATTACCTCCAGAGAATCACAGTAAAAGAGGATGTGCATGGACTCTGAGGAGACACAGATCAGTTCCTTAGGGGATGTCAATGTTTCATGGCACCAAACTGAAGGAGCTTTCTTTTCTGGTCTTTCTAGACATGATGTGATAGACTGTCCTTAACAACATTCCACTAAAAGACATGCAAGCAGGTTTTATATGGCTGTTTATTTATTTTTTAGTATGTGTTTGCAGTACGTAATGAGCACATTCATCATGGCGAATTTGTACATGTGCAAAACACATCTTAATTTTTTTTTGGTCTCTCTTTCCTCTCCTCCAATCCTTACAAAATGATTGTTCTGTGTCCTCAGTGGGACTAGATAGCGTAGAATTCAATGGAAACAGCTTTTCAGGAGAACAGAGCCTGATGGTCTACATGCCCATGAGTTTATCCATGAATAAAACCTAACACCTGGAAAATGGAGGGTTCACCTGGCTTTGAAAAGACCTGAATGAATAGGTTCTGAGGTGTTTGAACACAGACTTGGTCACAGAGAGTTGGAAGTTCTGATTGGTAATGGCTTGCATTGTTAACCCAAAGCTTTAGCTTTTGATCCTTATCTTGACAATGCAGAGCCCTTCCTTGTGTTCAGATCCAGTTATTAACTCCTCTTGTCTTATGTTAGCTTTCCATTGCCAGGACAAAATATCTGACTACCTTCCTTGTGCTAGACCCCTCCTTTCTTAAGTGCTAGAAGTTGCAGTTTTGGGGATGCTTCTAAACCACAGAGACTCTGTTATTGCCTTTATTTTTAAATTACATGAATAATTCATTTTAGTGTAATAAAAATGTATATATTACATATTCGTACGTATGTATACACAAGCATATATCTTTGTCTTTAGCTTCTGACACAGAGCCCTAAAAACCCTTGGAATTTCCTAAGTTTATAAAGAGTATTTTGTTCTTGTTGTTTGAACTACTCACTATATAGTTCAGGCTAGCCTTGAATTCACTATGTAGCCTAGAGTGACCTGGAACTCATGGTGATTCTCCTGCCTCAGGTGCCCAAGTGCTGGAATTACAGGAATGTACCACCATGCCTGGCAAAAATATCTTTCTTTATTCCTAATGTGCCCCTCGAGCTGGCCTGTAATCCCATTATTCTGAGAGGCTGAGACAGTAGATCATAAATTCAAGACTAGCCTGGGCAGCTTAGTGACTTAGTAAGACCTGTCTCAGAATTTAAAAATAAAGAGTAGGGATAGAGGTCAGTGTGAAGACCAGAACCCAAACCCGTATCTAAGTTGATGCTTATGAGTTGACCCAGGGTGGGTCCCTAGATAGTTCAGGATGAAGGCTGGTCCCCAGAAACACCAGTCCTTGATTACAGGTCTGAAATTGTCAGTCTCACCCCTACCCTGGTTCTTTCACTAGTGGTCTATTTTATCAGTATTGCCTACCTTAAGGAAACCTCCATAACCACCACCCTGTGTGGCATTTGGAGAGCTTCTGAACTGATGAACACAAGTAGGAGAGGGAGAGTGTACACCAACTACACGGAAACAAGCCCCATGCACTTGGGACCTTTTTTGAACCTCACCCTACTTCCCTATTCATCTGGTTAGGTGTGTTTATATCCTTTATAATAAAATGTAGTGGTAGGTATAACATTTTATTTAGTTTTATAGATCGTTCTAACAACCTGAGGGAACAGGTTAAGGCAACCCTCAAGTTTGTAGGAAGTTTGACAGAAATGTAGGTAACCTGGGAACCTGGTGCTTGCAACTGGCATCTGATGGAAGTACATTCTGGTGTAGCTGAGCTATTAAAACTGTGGAGTCTGATGTACCTCTAGGCAGTGTTAGACTAGGATCGAAGTGTGCAACACCCAGTTGGTGTCAGAGAGGCAGAGAGAATTGCTGTGAGAAAATATACTGTGTGTTGTCAGAACTACAGACTCATGGATACATCTTCAGTGAAAAGACTCAAATTATCCCAAGGGCTGATCAAGCTCTCACCTACCTTTTGAGGGGAACTACAAGGAATAAAAAGAAAGACAGAGATAATTTTCAAGATACAAAGGAAGGACTGGGTGGAGACCGGCCTCTAGTGGAGACACTTAAATAAACCTGTGATTGGCCCACTTTTATTAACCAGTGAGAAGCGCAGGAGGGGTAGCACATGTTTCATGGAGCAGCAACTACAGAATATGAATGGATAAGGATTAAGTTAATGAGGAACCAGATTTTCTTTAAACCCAAATACCTGTATATTGATAACCACCCTCAGCGGAAACTGTTTTGCCCCAGTAGTGACAAGAGTTACTAGCATTCCACTGTAGCCAGGGGATATGTGGCCTTTCACATACTTCCCTCCCATAACATGGACCTCGACCTCTAGACAGATCTGAATTATGTAGTCTAGTCCCCAACATTACATAGTACACATAGTGAAAAAGTCTATGCATAGTTTTTTCCTAATTCTTTGGTAGCCCATTAACAGATGCTTGTTCTTCCTATGTTCTAAGTTATTTGTGCAGATACTTGGGTGTGTGTTTTCTCTTCCTTTGTCCGTGTGTGTGTGTGTGTGTCTGCACACACATGTGCTTGTGTCCTTACACATTCATCCATGTATGTAATCATTGGCATGTATTATGGCTCTTCTTATGGTCAACAAATACTTGTCATCTGATTAGATGTTATGGCATTGTTCACACGATGGGATCATACTGTGTCTTTCTGTGTGGACCACATGACTGTGTCAGTCACATGACTGGTTCAGTTATTGGCAACTAGATGTTGAGACACATCCTCCAGATTTATCAGGGTTGCAAAAGGGTTTAATGGCTGCATATTTCAGAACCTCTTGACTTTCTGAATCCATTGGTGACTGCCCAATTGCAAAGTGTCTTCACTGCTTCTTTCACAGTATATTGAAAAAAAATAGGAATTACAAGGCTCATACATATGGCGTGATGAAGATGAGCGGAATACTTCTTTGACATTCGTTCCCCTTTAGTAAGTGGAGAACCACTCACTAATGGTACTGTGTTGTTTCAGGAGTCACTGACACTGGAGGATGTGGCCGTGAGGTTCACCCAGGAGGAGTGGCAGCTCCTGGGCCCTGCTCAGAAGGACCTGTACCGGGAGGTGATGCTGGAGAACTACAGCAACCTGGCGTCAGTGGGTGAGGACAGCTGCCCCGTGTCACTCATAGGGTCCCCCGTCAGTGGCTTTTCCTTTCTCGGCTTCTGGAAGCTTTGGTCTGTCTGTTGTGCTCTCAAGGAGTAGATTCTCAGCCCATCATCTGGACCCAGAGGAGGAGGTGTGATCTTCCCTCATGTTAGAAAAAAGCTTTTAACTTTCCGTTACGCACATTGTGTATGCCCGGAAATGTACCATTCTCTCATCGTCAGAGATGCCTTGTGCAACTGAGTGAGCCCACATCTTCTGTCATTCCCACTCACAGTGTTTGAAGCCAGCAGGCCAGATGTCCTCTCTGTGTTGGAACGAGGAGAGCCACTGTGGACATTAGAAGATGAAATCCACAGTGAAGCCCATCCAGGTGAGCGAGCGAGGAGCAGCAGGAAGGAAAGGCAGGGAAAACCATTGTCCCGTCCATTAGAAAAAGCGCCACACTTGTGACTGTGTGAGCCTCCACGCACCCTTTCCCACACTTGACAGTTTTTTTTCTCTGCAGGAGTTTCTTAATTTTATTTAACTGCTTTTTTAGCTGTTTTTCCATACTCTGAGCTTCTCCAAAGATTCTGTTTTCACCCTCTGGTCTGTCTCATAGGCCTTCAAACTTTACTACATACATTCATATCTCTGTGAGGTTTCCCAAGTCACATTTTTCTTAACATCATCTTATACAGAGTAGCTTACCTGTCTCCGTGGCAACTGCCTTTGCGATTGCACTGTACTTATAAGGAATGAAATCATCTTCCTTCCAGGAAAACCCCTTTCCTCATCCTTTTGTAAATTGAGTTTCTCCTGTACTTGTCCTGGCCTTCCTGGTATTTCCTTAAATATTTTCTACTCTTTGGGGTCCCATGTTTAAGTTCCCTTCTATTCCTATTCTTTTTTAGTATATGTGCTGCCGAAGCGAGCACTCTATTCCTATGCTTTGTGTAATTAGGAAAGATTTCATAAAACTCCTAATTCTCAATTAGCCTAAGCAAAATAGAATCTCATGATTGCCTTCCTGTAATTCATTTGTGTATTTGTTAATTCTCATATTTCTATCAGTTCAATTTAGATATTGCTGCTGGATTCTTTTCCCTGAGCTTTTGTTTCTCCTTGTAGTCTGATGACATTAAGTTCTAATTAACTAGATTACTGTAACCTGGAAGTTTCTCTTCTATGAAAGACCTATGTTCCCACTCTCTGAAGGGAGGTGGCATTGTTACGGTTTGAATGTTTGTATCCCTCTGTAATTCACATTGAAACCTAATCCCACGTGTAACAATATTAAGAAATAGTGCCTTTAGGGTGAATTAGTGACCTTATAAAAAGGGTTTGAGGGGTCAGATTTGTCTCTTTTTGCCCTTCTATTATCAGGGCATATCATTGACTGCCCTCTGCCATATGAGAACATAGCAAGAAGATACCGCAGACACTCCCTGTTTAACAACAGATTTCCATTTATGTGACTAGGCTGTTAAATGAATCAGTTGCTAAATGAGGGATTATATATACTATAGTATGTACATTACAATTTTCAGAACAAGAATGGTCAAAGGAAATTCCAACGTGATGATTTTGCTTTTATTTGCATAAATCTTTATTGTATATGTATAACAACATAAAACTACACACACTATACAGTAGAATTAGCAAAAATTACAGTACTATATAAACCAGGTGTACTGAACAAAATAAAACATTGAAGCTCCATAAACAAGATGCATAGAACTTTAAAAAAAAAAGACAGGTTGTAACTACAGTCATTAAACAGGTCGTTACATGAGGGGGCCTAACTATGTGATTGTAATTGATAAACTCAAATGTAACACATGATTTAATTTAGTGAGAAACAAGTATCTTTCTCGAGCAAAGATTGAAGCAAAACCAGGACAGATCTTCAGGAGACATTTACAAATTAAGCTTTTGACTATGTAAAATTTTTTTTGTACATTTGTACAAAGATAAAATGATTAGTAAATAGAGGCAGAATTGTAGAAATTCTGAAGAAATGTTTAGTGTGGATGGAGAATGATAATATAAAGTTTTTTTTTTTTTTTTGCAGTACTGGGAATTGAACCAGGGCCTTCACATACAGTGAGCTACATCCCCAATATTAATTAATTAATTAACTAATTAATTAAAAATTTTAGACAGGATCTTGCTAAGTCACTAAGTTACCCAGGCTGGCTGAGCTTGAACTTGCAATTCTCCTACCTCAGCCTCACAGAGTGCTGGGATTACAGGCTTATACCACCGTGCTTGGCTGTCTTAAATATTCTGTGGAAGACTTAAAGTTAGATTTTGAATTAAAAAGATAAGAAGAAACAGGGCAAGATAGTATGAAATTAGAAATGGGTAAGGCTATGTGGGAACTGTCAAAAGATTGGCTGGAAACACAGAGACCAGTGTTAGGTGTTTGTTGGGAAATGGTGGTGATGGTTGCACAGATGTGAATGTGCTTATTACCACAGGTCAGTACACTTAAAAATGGTTAAGTGGCAAGTATAATCTCTAACTGTAATAAAAAAGTTTTTAAAAAGGAGATAAAGAACATTTATACTTGGAATTACTTTCATATAATATATGGAGTCTACTAAAGTGCCAGCTATTCTTAAAACAATTTTATTTCATATGATATGAAAGGATCATTGTTCTTTCTTTCCTAGAAATTGAGAAAGCTGATGATCATCTGCAGCAGCAATTGCAAAACCAAAAAAGGCCAGAGAAGGTGGAACAATATTATAAACAGAATGCACTTGGAAATGTTCAGAAGTGCAAACATCATTCTCCTTTAAGGCCAAATCATGACTTACTTGACTTACATGGAAAAATTTTGAAACCAAATTTAGGTTTACCCAACCAGAGCAGAAGCTATACCATAAAAAAGCTTGCTGAGTTAAATGTAGATAGGAGATCCTTTCTCTGTGATACTCATGAGCAAACTCATACTAAAGTTGAATCTCATGAAAGTAGAAAACCTACCAGCACGGAATCACAATTCCCCAAAGACCAACAAACATACACAATAGAAAAAGCCCACGAATGTGCTAAATGTGGGGAAGCTTTCCTCGAGAAGTCTCAGCTCACTGAACATAAGAAAATTCATTTAGGAAAGAAACCCCATGAATGTAATACCTGTGGAGAAACTTTCTACAAGAAGTTCAACCTCATTGAACATCAGAGTGAACGTAAGAGAGAGAAGCCCCATGAATGTGGTGAATGTGGGAAAGCCTTCTTCAGGAAATATCAGCTTACTCAGCATCAGAAAATACATACAGGAAATAAGCCTCATGTGTGCCCTGAATGTGGGAAAAGTTTTGCCAGGAAATCACCACTCATTGTGCATATGCGAATTCATACAGGAGAGAAACCTTATGTATGTAGTGAATGTGGAAAAGACTTCATTCAGAAAGGCAATCTTATGATACATCAACGAATTCACACGGGAGAGAAACCCTATGGATGTACTGACTGTGATAAAGCATTCAGCCAGAAGGGCTGCCTCATAGCACATCAGAGATACCACACAGGAAAGACGCCCTTTGTATGTACTGAGTGTGGAAAATCCTGTTCACAGAAGTCAGTGCTCATTAGACATCAGAGAATTCACTCTGGAGAGAGACCCTATAAATGCAGTGACTGTGGGAAAGCCTTCATTACAAAGGCAAAGCTCACTCTCCATCATAGAACTCACACAGGAGAGAAACCCTATGGGTGTGATGAGTGTGAGAAAGCCTACTCCTACATGTCATGCCTTGTTAAACATAAGAGAACACACAGCAGGGAGAAATGCAGTAATTCAGTGGAGGTAGAAAATTCTACAGTGAGTCACACCTTATCAGACAGTAATAAACTCACGCAAAGGAGAAACCCTGTTAATACAACTTCCGTGATCCCTGATGCGTCAAACATCAGTGGGCTCCTAGAAAATCAGAATGTGGTCCCTGTGGGACAGCCAGTGGCCAGATGTCCACCCTCAGGAGAAAGAGGATTTGTACCAGAGAGAAGCCTTATGAATGTGGTGAATGTGGTTGTGCCTCCAGTCACTTATTATATAGTATTTTATGTTGCAAACATGTAGGAAAAAAAAAAAAACATATATTCAATGTGGAAAAGCCTTGCTGAATATCTGCTGGTGTCACCTTTGAAATTCTATGAATACAGAAACTAGGAAGCCTTTTCTGAAATATGGACCTTGTGAATAATCACCATAGATTACCATGGAGCTTGTAATGATATAATGGTTGGGAGGAAGCCTTTGCCCTCGAGGGGTGGGGTTACATACTGTAGAGAAACTGGGAAGGTGGTAACTGGCAGGGCCTAAAGTGGTATCTTCTGCCTTGCCCATAGCAGGTAAAATTATATAAAAAAAACCAGCAAACACACTGTGAAGTGCCTTTAGTAACAATATTTCACTGATTTTAGGGCCGGGGATTTAGCTCAGCAGTTCGGTGGCCTGCCTTGCAAGCGCAAGGACCCGAGTTCAATCCCCGGTAACAAAAAAACAAGAAATTTTTTTTTTTTTTCACTGATTTTGAGGCAAGTCCTATGAAAGGAAGGATGTTTAAGATTTTTTTTTTTGTACCAGGGATTGAACTCAGGATGTTGTGCTTGCAAGGCAGGCAATGGAACCCCTGAGCTAACTCCCCGGCTAGGATGTTTTAAGATTTTTGTTCCATTTCCAACCTCATACTGGACAGGATACCTGGAAACACATCCCTATATACTGTGTTAGTGATTCCATATTTAAAAGCCTCAGGGACTGAGAGTACAGCTCTAATACAGCACTTGCCCTCTATGACCAAAGCCCTGTATTTGATCCCCAGAACTGGAAAAATAAATAAGCCTCTGCTTCATATCATTTGGTTATCATGTATTCATTTTTATTTGTGAGTTCTTTTGCATTTTTTCTCCCCTCAATTATTCATCATCACCAAAGATTATGTAATTAGCTATTGCATTTCTTTGGCTCTAAATTTAAGTATTATTTCAAAACTAAGTCCTGTGAAAAGTTAAGAGTGGGGAACAGAATCAGGGAGCTCTGCATTGCTAGGATCCCTCATGATGATATTTGGCTCTTCAAGTCAGGTTGGTGATGTCATCAGATGTCAGATGTGTACAGGAAGTGGTGTCCTGGACCAACAGGCATAAAGCTTTAGGTCAGGCAACAAACAGGTACAGACACACTGAGTCACACTACTCCACTTAGCCCAACTCCTGTCCTATAGGGTCCTGAGGGAAGGGCACTAATCTGTCAACAAGGATGTGGCAGCAGAAGCCTTGGAGCAGGCCTTTGTTAGGTCATCCCCAAACTGGTCGCCTGAGCTATTCTGACAAAGTGCTGCATCTACTCTTTTGTCTCAGACTTAAGTGGCATGCTCATCTTGTCAGTAGTTAATGTCTTGAGCTTCCCAATACCACAGTACACACTCACGTAACTCATATTACCGTTCACCAAAATGAGAATCTGGCACCTGCCCCTAGAAGGGAGCTGGATGTGTCCTACTTTAACTTACCTGGTGTTACGTCTTGTGTTTAGATGTCTCTCAAAGCCTTATGCAGTCATAGGTGAGGCTTTTTCAGAGGTGGCTGGATCTGGAGTGTAACACTGGAGTTGACTCATGGTGCAATGCTAGGTGTGAGGGCATTAGGATTAAGGGTGTGAGTGTTAGCTGCCCTAAGTAGTCTAGATAAAAAAGGTAGAGAGACGCTGTTAGTCCCGTCTTATTTTTTGCTGTCTCTGCCCACCATAAACTGTCATGTGCCGCAGTGGCTTGGAGGCAGCCAACCATGGACTCAAACCTCTACCAACAACTAAATAAACCTTCCCCCCTTTACCTCTGGGTGTTGGGTATCTTGTCTCAGCAACTAGAGAAAAGTAAGACACCTGGTTCTGGGGCAAAATTTCAGTCACAATCACCAAGATCTAGAAGGGCTGGTGCTCTGATGTACTACCCGATTACACAGAAGAGTGTCCCGCTGGTAACAATGAAACCAAGGGCAGGATTGTTGGTAGTCATTCATGTTGGGGTTCATGAAGAGTATTGTTGCAGTCTTTCTGTAAAAACAGGATGTCCTCCAACAGTCTAGCCCAGCATGTCACATCTTACGATACAAAACCAGGGCAGGCTGGTAGCCAAGATCTCTTGTTAGATTTGCAGAATCAAAAGACTGAAGCACAGATCACACTCCCTTGTCTGAAGAACTCATGAAACCCATGGAATATTATCTTGCTATTTACTTTTATTTTTTTGGTACCTGGGATCGAAATTGGGTCCTTGCACTTGCAAGGCAGGTGGCGGCACCATGAGTTAAATCCCCCACCCCATTAACTTGCTATTTTTTGCGGGGGGTACTGGGGATTGAACTCGGGTCCTTGCGCTTGCAAGGCAGGCCACCAAACCGCTGAGCTAAATCCCCGGCTAACTTGCTATTTTTTAAACAATGTATTTAATATTGCTATTTTGCATCTTGCTAATGCTTTCTTCAATGTGCTTATAGCTGCTGAGTCCCAGGAACAGTTTATCTGGAAAGACCAACAATGGATCATTCAAGTACTCACTCAAAGCTGTCTGCGCAGTCTCAACACTTGCCATAGAATGGTGGCTTAATTTGTTAGCCTACCCTCCCATTGTGAAAATAGTGATATCTGCATTTTGTCGATGACTTACTCAGCTCTCAGTGTCATGAATTTAGAAAAGTAGCTGGAGGGTATCAAGTACACCTGAAGGGGCAGGGATGGGAGACCAGTTCCCATAATGTGCAAGGGTCTGCCATAGCTGTAAAGGTTTGGGGGTGTTATGGTTGGGTTAAACAAAAAAGCATGACATCGGAGGTCACATATCTTGCAGCAGCCTTAATGTAAAGCAACCACAATTGTTTCTAGAAACCAGAGTACTGACATATTTTTTTATCCTACCTTGCTTCCTGACCATGTATATATAAGTTGATGACAGGTAACATGTAGGATTGGGACAAAAAGACAAGATTTTGAGCACACTAAGATTCTTGTGGGGCAGGCTAAAAAGCCCTGTATCCCAATGTCCACTTTTTCTGGAGATTTCCAGGAGCCCCAAGGGTTATGGCGGAAATGGCCTGAACAGCCATTTCCAATGGGGTTCTGGCACCAGTCATGGAAAGGAGTGGAGGCCCAATATACAGGAGCAACAGCGATTAGCTGTATATAAAGCTTGGCAGCAAGTGGAACTCATCAGTGGATCAGCAGCAGTGATAGAAAAAATATAATAAATAAAGGGCTGGAGAGAAGGCCTTTTGGTTAAGCCCCTTTCTGAGGTAGCACAAAATCAGAGTTTACAAAAGTAAGGGGCACCCATACTTGCAGCAGCAGGGAGACCTATCTGCTAGCCTTGTGACAAATGCCATAGTGAAATGCAGGCCATAGTGAAACCAGTATTCTCCCAAACTTCTGAGCCACCTCCAGCTGCTAGAGCAACAGCCGGGTTAAATAAGGTGCTAGGAGGGACATTGTCCATCTCTGAAGGTGTTTAGTATCTTGATGGCGTTAGGGCATAAAACAAGGACTGGCAGCAGCAGTAATACAGATACCAACTGATTAGGGACAGGAGAAGGGAAAAGTAGCCAGCGGACTGATTTAAAAACAGTATGGATGAGGGTGACTCGTGAGGAATGGCCACTATGTGACCACGTGGATGGTCAGGAAAAGGGAGCACTGCCACCTGCTTGGTAGGCCACTAGGATACCACAGGTGTGGAAGGTGGTCACAAAACTGACCATGGACATGCTTACCACTGCCAGTGAAAGCACCCATGCTGTCGCCGACGCCATGGGCTGTGCATATCTCCCAGATAAGGATGCGTGAAGCCACATACAAGCATATTCAGGATGTAGATCCTAAAATGCCTGTTATGTCTTTGTACATGGACCAGAATCTTCACGTGCTACTTGGAGCCATGTGCTTCGGACTGTTTCATGGTGTCCTTCAAGGAGTGAACACCCGCCGGGGCAGTCTGTAGTGCTCTTGTGGCACAATAGCCTCCTAGTGGGATGAGAATGGAGCACACGTAACTTTCCCAAGGACTCTTCTTGTCTTTGATCCTGACATTTGTTGTTTTGGAGTCATATCTGAACAGTCCTTAGTGAGGGGTGGGGGCTTCGGTACTACAGGTCCCTCTGCGTCATCTGTAAGTAATAATTAATAAACCATTTACTTGCCAAACTGGATGTGTCTGACCCTTTCTTTGGCCTGTTGCTGACACCTCGCATTCAGAGATGTTTCTTTTACGTCTCCCCTGCAGATTCACAGAATAAGGGTTAACCCAAGAGGATTAAAACAAATTCAGGCAAAGTCTTTTATTTAATATTGATAGTGCTATTCATAGATACAAAGTAGCATGTGGATTAAACAACGTAAGTGCCCAACACAGGAAGAATAGACAAATCAAATGTACACACATGTACGTGTCTATATGTAAAGTGATATTAATCAGCTATGAAAATGAATGGAGATCTGACGGGCCTTGAAAACATTGTACAGTACTAAGTGAAAAGAAGTAAAATGCAAAGGCCACATTTTGTATTTTATTTTATACGACACACTCGAGAACTGAACCCATCGACACTGAACACCATAGGGTGGGCGTGGGAGGAACTGGGACTGACTGCTGCATGAGCGTAGAGTTTTCTCTCAGAGTGATGAAGGTGTTTTGGAACTAGAAAGGGTGGTTGTATAGCGCTGTGAACGTACTGGACACTGGATTGTGCACTTGAAAATGCTTAATTTTATATCGTTAACTCTCTCATCAATAAAAATATATTTAACAGAATAATATTGCCTGAGCTCCGCTTATTGGATGAGAAGTCTCAATGTCATGAAGGTATTTGCCTCCATTAAATAAATCTTAAGTATTAACATTTAAACAAATAGCGGCTCAACGTACAAGAACTGAGGAAATACAATTTCTGTTAACTTCTTGAAAAAACTGATGAAGCATGAATTTTGCCTCTAAAATATAGACAATGGTGAAAGCATTGTAATAAGCATCCAAACTCATCTATCCATAGAAGTAAGGATTTAGTGTAGGAACTCTAGGTACAGAGCCTAATATAAGGGCTAAGGTGATGACAATGTAGAAATTACAAAACTGAATACATGCACAGAGTCATGGAGAGAGAAGGCAAAAGATAGGTAAGAACATTGATCTGATCATTTTAGTCTAGGGAGAAAGGTAAGCGCCTCATCGAAGCTTTCTTGTTAAAAAAATAGAGCAATTTCAGGAGGGATTAAAAATGGATCAAGAACTGGCAGCAAAACACAGCCCCGCTAGGACCTGGAATTGAGACACCTGGGAAACAACCACTCGCTGAAGAAAAAAGTAGATCTCTGGGAATCAGTGGGGAGCGGAAAGGAAAACTAGAGATGAATCCGTTTAGAAAGCTGCAGACCCTGCTGGGACCCTCTCAGCCCAGCGCTGACAATGCCCGTCTACCCGTCACCC